GAAAACTCACCGGTCCCAGAACGCCGAGCTCCGTCACCTCGAGGACATTTTCAATGTGGCTCTTCTCGGAATCGTAGGGCGGCGGCTTGACGAGCGTCGTGCGACCGCTGCTGCTGGACATGATGGTGACGAGGCCCCTAGCTGTCGTGACGTGTGCTTTGCGTCGTATTGGACCGAACCTTCTTTCGAGGCTCCGAAGATCCACTCAAGGGATTCCTCGCTAGATATCGCGTTGCCCGTCCAGCCGGGGTTATGTGTCCTGGCTGGGCTAAGTCTGATGGGACTACGATGGCCGATGAGACGAAGAACAAGAAAAAAAAACTCTGATGGAGATGGAGACCGGTTTGGTTGATGAGGGGCGGGAGAAAGGGGGCGGTTGAAGAGATAGATTGGAGACAGACCCATTCACAGGCAAGGCAAGTGAAGTGAGGTCGGTGGTGGTTTGAGATGGATGGTGACACAGACGCAGGCACAGGCAGGGGGGCTCTTGCCGAGGTTCGGACCACTGGCGCATGACAGGCCGTGGCACTGGCCGTGGCAGTGGCTGGCAGTGGCAGTGGCTAGTGCCGAACGTCTCCACCCGTGCCGTGTCTCCCCTCGGTAGCACGACCCGAACCCGAGCGCCGGGTCGCTCCAGTCCATCAGGACCTTCCATGGCCCCCGATCCATCTTCTCATCTTCCCATATACCCGCCTTAATCCTTCTCCGCATGTGCTACTTATGTGATTGTGCGGGGGGTGCGGCTTTCCATGGACGGGCTAGAAGAAATGGTTCAAGAAAAAAACCCGCCGACGAGGCAAAACAATCATCTCTCTATTGACCTTGCTCTGGCTACCCCAAGTACAACTAACTGCGTGCGCTACTCCAACCTCTCTCCCCTGCCCTCCGCACACCCAAATCAGCTCCTTCTCACTCGCCATGAACCCCTAGACAGGGACACTCTACTGCTCCACGTCCTGGTAGATGGGCTCGAGTCCGTGCCACGCCGACGTGTCGCCCGTGCCCGCCTTCTCACGCTGCTCCCAGTATTTGCCGTTGAACTTCCAGTACTTCTCCCCCGTCACCTCCGAGAGCTCCTGCGTGAACCACGCCGGCGTGAACTCCTTGCCCTGCGTCTCGCGCGCCCGACGACGCGCCCGCTGCGCCTCCTCGAGCCGGTTCTTCTCCGTCGCCGCGAGGTCGTACTCGCCGTCCTCCATCGCCCGCTGGTCCGGCCGCAGACGCGAGTCCGTTGGCGCGATCCACGCCCGCAGATTGTCGTCGAGATGGTTGAATGTCAACACAAACGGCGTCAGGTTGAACGGGATGCCTTGCGGCCGCTCGTGCGCCTGCCAGATGAGGAACGCCTTGTTCGGGTCGTGCGCCTTGTTGTCGCCCGGGTCCTCCACCGTCGCCTCGTAGCCCGGCGTCAGTCGCGCGTAAAACTTCGAGTTCCACCGCCCGCCCAGGCTGTACCGCACCCGCCCATCCGCATCCACCACCTTGCCCTTGATCTTGAACGCGCTCGACGCCTTCCACCCGCGCGGTTCAAACTCCACCATGCACTTCTCACCAGTGCTGTGGTTCGTCACCTCCATCGGTCCGTAGTGGTCCAGCACCGGGTTGCCCGTGATGATGCCAATGACCGACGACGTCACCTTGTTCCACGTGTACAGGTCCTCCTTGCCCCCCGCGTTGGGCCGCAGCTTGAGATACCACGTGCCGAGCTGCGCCACGTCAAACGACTTGCCGTAAAACTTGGACTTGACTGACGCCTCGCCCCAGTACGTCCACTTGGGTGCCTCGGCCCACACGGCACCGATCGGCGGGTGATGGCTGACCTGCTCGACAAAGAAGCGGTAATTCTTGTCTGGACGCACATACTCAAACGTCTCGCCCAGCAGCGGGTTGAATGGCTTCGCCACGCGACCAATCGTAGAGGCATACTCGCTGGCAGCGAACGCTGCCACGTAGAGCATTCGCTCCAGCGAGTCGCTGCGGTCCGCCGCCTGTTCCAGCAGGTCTGTGTACTCCATGTCCTCACCAGCGCGGTACAGGAGCGACGTCGGCTCGTTAAAGGAGACGGGCAAGGTCATCTTGGTCATGTCTTTGCCGATCATTGATTTGAGGATACCCTGCAAGTGAATCTGGTTAGCTGACTGAGTAATATGTCGTGAAGGGGGAAGAACTTCTTACCCATAGCGAAATCTTGGGCCTGTCATCCGCATCCATCTTGAGCCTTGTGCGGACACCGTTTTCATAGCCCTTGAACGAGCTGCTGATGTCCAAGGTCCCGGAAACAACAACCTCCTTGGGCTCCGCTGTACCGTCAACCTCTGGGCCCGAGCGCTCGGCCGGGAGCTCGCTGACTTCCACCTCGCCCGCGTCCACGGCATCGAAGAACTCATCCGAAGCGTCCGACTCTGAGTCAGAGAGATCACTGATCTGGTCGAGCGCAGTCTGCTGCCTGACAATGCCGGCACCCGGGGCGCTCTTCGCCGCGCCATCGGTGCCGATCGCCTCATCAATGACCTCTGTGCCATCAGCCCTGTTGCTGTCTGTCACGGGTGCTTTGCTGACTGCCTCCCGCAGAGCACGCTTGGCCAGTTTCCTCTTCGTCTCGGCCTGGTCAACGCGCTCCTCGAGAACCTCCTGTTCTTTGGCCACCTGCGCCATGCTTTCCTCCCACATGCGCCGCATGTCAATCTCGCGATCCAGCCGGTACTGCCAGTACGCATCGCGGTCCTTCGAGATGCGCAGCAGGTCGCCCATGAGACCAGTCAAGCTGCGAACTGCAGCATCATATGTAGCGAGAGCCTGAGACACCTTGCCGTCAGACAGCGTGGCGGCCGGATTCTTGGAAGTCTCCGCGATGAGCGCCGCATTGACAGCTGCGATCGTGTCGAGCTGCAGCTTGGCAGACTGCGCAGTGATGTTGAACGCATCCCTTGTCACAGCCGGGCCATCGCGATTGCTCGCCTCCTCAAAGTAGTCATCGTCGTCGTCATTTCCTCCCGCGTTAGTGTGGGTGTGGTTGCCACCCATCCGAGACGCATCGCCTTCAGTCATCGCATCGGCGTAGTCGTCATCGACGCTGCCCACGGTACTGGCGGCCCTGTGCATAGAGTGACGAGGTCCAGACTGCGTTCGGTGGATTTGCGTGCTGGTTCTCCGCGTATCGGTCACGCTGGCGCTTTCGCTGGCGGGGTCGTTCATGGACAGCTCTGGAGATTTGCCAGCCTGGTCGGCCTTAGCTTGACGAAGCATCTCGGCACCACGAGCCTTCTGCTTCTCCTCCTCCTTGGCTTGGTCCTTGGTCCACTGAATGGAGTTATTCAGCGCCCAGAACCATCTCTTGGCCTCGACTTCGTGGTTGGCCTTGAGGGTGTATTTGGGAGATGATTTGCCGATAATCTCAAATTTGGTCTTCTCGTCGGCGCTCATGTGAAGCTTGGCAATGCGCATGTTGATGGCGCCGCGGCAGGCCGAGCCAGCATCGTCCTGGTGTTTGTAGTAACTCATGACACCGTCCTCTAGTACGAAGAACCTCAGCTGGTATCCCTTTCGGTAGTTGGTCCACTTCTTCAGGTAGCCAGACATCTCGCGGGCTTCTCTTCCGGCGAGAGGGTCACCCGGAGTGCTCGAGGAAGCGCCCTGGGATGCAGCATGACCAAGAACAGCCTTCTCTTGAATGCCCCTCTGGGCGGCCACGGCAGCGGGCGAGCGCTTGAGCATGGAACGAGTCGTGTCGTCCTTTGTGACGTCTTGGGGGAGCTTGCCCTTACGGTCTCGTCGGAATGGATCAGCACCGTGAAGAAGCAAGACTTGGATGAGCTGCGAGTTCTTTTTGCGTGCTGCCTCGTGTAAGAGGGTTCCTCCGTTCTGAACGGTCACGGTTTCGGTGCAGAATTCGGTGCTGTTAATGTCAAGAACCTGCTTGAGGCGCGGCTCTTCAAGAATGACCTCGAGCGCCTTGTAATCGCCCTGGGCAATGAGACCCTGGACCTGACGCACCTTGTCTTCGACAAATAGCGACCGCGACAGCTGGAGCTGTTGGAAGATTTCCGGGTTCCTCGCCGAGTCGATGGGCAGCCGGCCCTGCGTATTGGGAATGGCATCGTTGATGTCTTTTTGTTCGAGAAGCAGCTTGACAACCTGAGTTCGTCCTTGGGCTGCCGCAATGTGAAGCGGCGTGTTGCCCTCCTTGTCGCGTGAGTTGACATCTATGGAGCCGGTGCTGTTGTGAAGAACAAACTCGACGACAGGGTATTCTGCGCACTGGATGGCCAGGTGTAATATGGTGGTGTCATCCAAACCGGTGCCGTTCAGCGATCCGATGGAGGAAATGCTGGTCCGCGGACCGCCCTCGGCAGTTTCGCGAATGGCTCTGGAGATGGATGCCGTGTCGCCACTCCGCAGAGACTCGACGATGCGGAATTTTCGAACGGACTGCTCGAGAGACACACCCTTGTTCTCGAGCGATACGCTGCCAGTCTTGGAAGACAGGCCTGCGGGGCTCTGGTTGGAGGGTGTTCGTGCCAGGGCAGCGGAGGAGGCGGTGAGCTTGGCGCCCTGTGTTCGGGTGGAGGTCTGGTGGGATAGAGACGCGCTCGACGAGAAGGACGGAGACAGGCCCGAGAAGCCAGAGTTGCCAGCATCGTCAGGGCCGGAAGAGTTCGAGGCGTCTTCTTCGTGACGAGAGTGGTTGCGACGGAGAAGGGCGAGGGCAGCGGCCGATTTGGACCGCTTATGGGCGGTGATGCTGTAGCCGCAGTGGCATTAGGACTGGTATGGTCGTCACATGAGGGGGGGAGGGGGGGAAGGGAGAGATTCAAATTCGTTCAGGGGAGCGAGGGACGTACCTTTCGCCTGTGTCTGACATGATGACGCTGCTGTTCGAATCCTTGTCGAGGCAGCCAAGGCAAAGAAGAGCGACGACAGCAACAATAACAACCAGAATAGGGCACCTAGGTTATGTAACGCAGGAGATGACGGCCGCGGGCCGAAGGGCGTCGGGCAAATGTGTAGAGAACTGGATGAGGTAAGGCAGAGAGGGTCTCAGGAGATGGACTGTGCTTCACAGCATTCGCATTCTCGGCAGACGCCCTACTCAACCAGTACTTGCGTAGGAACAGGTGCAGCTGGCCGCCGTTGAGAACCCTGAGGCGGATGTTGTCCTCGGTGGCTGATACAGTTTGTTGTCAGGCGGGGCCTTAACTCGACCGAGACCTGAGGCTCTGGCAACGAGGGGCCACCGTAGTCCGATACCCTAATATAGGTACGAGCTGTGGAGGAACGGAATTCGGGCACTGGAAACGGCCGGTATGCACGAATGGCCCGTCGCGTAGTAGAGGAGGGTCTGAGCCACGATGATGAAGAGGTCGATGGCCGTGAGGGTAGGTGGTAGGTAGGTGGTAGGCAGTGTCAGGAGCAAGGATGGCGATGGAGTCGTGGATTGAGATACATATGGCCAGGCACAAAGTGGCCAGTTGAGGAAAGCACCAACCAGTCGTCCCGTTTCCCCTCTTCCACCTTGCTTTCGAGTGCAGGAGCCAGGCAATGACGTTCTTGCATGTGGGGTGGATGGAGCTCACGCCTGGTTAGAGCTCCAGCCAATGACGCCTCGGTGCCCTGAAGCTAGATCAGGGGATGACTAACAGCCCCTTGTTCACCTGCTCCAACGGGCGGCTCGTCTTTCGTGTGCCATCTGCCTCAGGGCAATCCGTGCTTCGATCCGTGGTTGTGTCTCATCTCGTACAGTTACGATCACCTTGCTGCGCCGCCAACGTTGACGCGTCCCGGCCTTGAAGCGCTGTACGGCCCTTGCAATATACGGTAGCACAGAAAACATCGTATGATGAGGCTGGACACATGTTCTAGATTCGGACCAAGATTGCGGCTACATGGATCCTGAACTTTGAGACTACTCACAAACACCAATAGATCAACCTACCACATCGTTACTATGTAGATGCAGAATCAATACGACATCGAAGAGAACAAGCCGCCAATTATCCATGGTGGCCTACAGCAAAAGCCCAGCGACAACGACGGCGAGAGCCGCTGCGCTGATCATCCCGGACTTTCCGGCACCAGCCTCTACGATGTGGCTCGGCTTCGGTAGCGCATGCGAGCCCGTAGCGTTGTGCCCAAGACCTGCAGGCGGAATCACAATGGTCGTGTACGGCTTCTTCACCGGAGGAATCGGTTCGCCGCTTTCCTTCGGGGGCGAGTCCTCCTCGTTGCCCTTTTGGGGAACGTGAGGTCCGCCGCTAGGCTTGGGTGGCTGAGGAGCATCCGTCTTCGGTCCCTGAGGAACGTCACCCGTGGCAGGGCAGACGGTGGTGTACCATGTGACTTCAGTCGTGACCTGGCCAGAAGGGCAGTATGCCACATCAGGAGCGCAGGAGGTGACGGTATATGTCTTAGTCGTGTAGGCAGTACTCGTCGTCCAGACGGGTGCTGACGTGACAGGAGCTGACGTGATGGCGGGTGTCGGGGTCACATCGCCAGTCTCCGTGACAGGGCATACGGTCGTGTACAAGGGAATGGTCTCCGTAACGACATCTCCCTTGGTGCAGGGCACGTCAGGTTTGCAGGACGTGATGGTGCGGGTGCTCGTGGCGTATACGGTGCTTGTGGTAAGCTCGACAGAGTCGGAGGACGTCATGCTGGTGGGTCCAACGGACGAGGAGGACACGGTGATTGACGCCGTAATTGTTGAGTTGGATGGCAAACGACTACTGGTAGTGGTAGGTCCGGTGGGAGGCGCAGAGTCGCATCCAAACTCGAGCGCGTCGGCAGCGTGTTCATTGAAGTTCTTGCCATCAATGACGTTCTGAGCGCCCCTCGTCGCGTCCCAAAAGGATAGGCCTCCAAACTGACTCTTGTCCTTAAGCGCGCAGACAATTTCCTTCACCTGCTCGTTGTCGACATAGCCACTGCCACCTGCCGCAGGGCTCGCCAGCAGGCCGATAAAGATGTGTGCGTCCTTGCTCTGGTCGGTCTCCGACAGGACCCTCAGCCAATCATCATAGTTGATATTGTCAGAAGCCTGGCAGCCAGGATTGTTGTAGAACTGGATGAACAAGGCATCGAACTGGGCGGCGTAGACAAGCTCCTTCAGTTGGAAGTACTCATCGGAAGTCGGGCACTGGGGGGCAGCTGTGATGTAGTACGCAGGGTTGAGGGCGCGAAGGACCTCAACCATCCTGATGTAGGGCGCTTGGTTGGCTGATAACATGTCGTGGTCAGCGTGTGAAGCGGGAAGCGTACATGTATGCGAACTTACGGTACTTGAACTCAATGTCAAAATCGAAGCCATCGACGGCCACATGCTCCGTCTCGCTGATGTCAAAGGGACGAGGGCCAGAGTAGGTAGGATCGTACGGGCCGAAGATGGAGTGGAGCTGTTCGGCGAAGGCTTCTCCCTCTTCCTCGTCCAAGACATCATAACTGCAAGGCTCGCCACCGGCGCAGTGTCCGCCAATGGACAGAAGAACCTTCTTGCCAATGCTCTGACAGTACCTGATGTCTGTCTTGATAGCATCACAGTTCATGATGAGAGAGGTCTCTTCGCCGTTGACCGGATTCACATAGAACTGCTCGCCACCACAGTGGCCGGCAAAGTTGGTTCCGGGATAGTCATTGCCGTACCTCGGGGACTTGTTCACAAAGGACAGAGTGACGGAGGTGACGCCGGGCGAGTCACAGTAGCTGGCCAGGCGATCCGTGGGCAGGCCCAGCTGGCCCCAGTAGAGGTTGAGCCCGCCATACGTGTTAGCGAAGGCGGGACCGGCACCGAGAGCCACGGCCAGGAGGGACTTGAACATCATGTTGGTGATATACTGGATATGAATGTGAAAATGTAGAAGGACTGTAAGGTGGCCGAAGCCTGTAGGTAGCGAGCGTGGAGAGGTGGTTGTGGGTTCAACGAAAGGACGCAAACAAAGTGTCTGCAAAGCCGAAAATGGCTGGATGACGTCTCTGGCTTGACGATGAAGAGATGAGGAGACACGAGCAGCAGCAGAGTGGGCATGTTATCCAGGAAGTCGGACGGGGAGAGGGCCTTTCATAGCCATTCAGTTGTCAGCTGGCCGGCATCGTAGTGTGGCGACCACGCCCACCGGCCGACGGGGCGAGGCATCATGACAGCAGTTGGCTTGTTGCTGTGTTGGCCCTGGACCACCCAACACAGCTGGACCACGCCGGAAACCATGCCGGGCTAAGGCGTCGAGAGATTACCAGACAATGTCAAGGCTGGTGCCGAGCGAGATGTGCTGCGAGCTGTTCCCGGAGAACGGCGAGGATTGGCTGGGCCATGCGGGCGTGCGGCAAGTCCAGCAGCGTGATATTCATCCAGTGTGCTTGACCGAAGGACCAACATGGCAGACGAGAGGATCGTGGATGGAGATGGTGGCGGCGAGGGACTTGTAGTTGGTGGAGAGGTTGGCTGTGCAGTGGATCTACGCTTGCTGTGCCTGGTACCTGCAGTGGTAGCGCCTGCCATGTGAGGGGAGATGAAATGAGACAACCACAAGGTGGGTACTTCCTTCCCAGGGGAGATCCGGCCAGTCCTGCCGGGCTCAGGAACGACTCACAGCATGATCGCCAACCTGCCCAATTCTGTAGGACCTTCTGCTTCTGGGGTACCACGGGAGGTGCTCAGGGTAGGTAGGGTAGGTACCTAAGGTACGTTTCCAAGGTACCTAGGTACCTGACGTACATTAACTTTCAGGGCCTGCCAAGGATCGGTGGAGAACCTCGGGCTGCTTCTATTGAACCACCAACAGCGGCGAGAGATGCCAGAGTGGCGCCGCCTCGTCGATGAAAATGGTCCGCCCAGACGATCAGAGTCGATATTTCCCCTGATCCGTGCGTCCGACATCTCGGCCGGTTTAGCCTGAACCCTTGACAACACATGTGCCCGCATCCCTGTTCTTTTCGCTGACTCTCACGTCTCCAAGAGCATCTCCAAGAGCCCGGAACAGGTGGCCCTGGTAGCAGAACTCGCTATACAGCCAAGCCATTCCCAGTTGATGGTCATGGGTGGAACACCGAGCCGAGCAGACGCTGCCCCCGTCCATGTGCGCTCACCCGGCTGGGGTTAAGACTGCGAGACCTAAGTAGGTTGTGGGTTTTCGCCCCCACCTCCTGTGACGCGTACTGGCATATTGGTTCTCACAGCAGGAACCGCTCAGGCGCGATCCTCACATTCTTCACCAAGGACTTGACGGGTCTGGACACTTCTCATCGATGGACGCTGTTTGGCATCCAGGGGAACTTCCTTGAGGAGTGTCAGATGAGAGTGGGAGGAAAGGGCGGCGGCTCAGTGCGTCACTGTAAGATTGTTCCTCCAAGATGATCCAATGCTGTCGGAGGCTGAGCACACTGCTGACGGGGTGCGCCTGGGCCTATCCGGCGAAATTTGAGCCGATTTAGGCCAAATCGAGCAGATGTAGGCCAAGTAGCCCGAGTCCACTGTATCCTTGACGAGGCTGATCTTTGGGGCGGCTACTCTTCGTCCCATAGATATCCATTCATGTGAAGATGTAGGTTGCGCAGGCATCCTCCGGCCGAAGAACACACGCTCGGCCTACCACGTTTTCTGCACCCCTGAATCCCTGGACACAACAACAACGACAGGTCTAAGTGACAGTGGTGCGTGGCGACTACTACCGTGGCCGTTGTACGAACATGAGGCGAGCATGAGGCCAACATTTGCAACACGACAAGCAAAAGACAGCGAACTCAGTCAAGAAGGGCACATACGTGAAGGGGGTATATATCATTCATTCTATGATCCCGCCAAACGAGATCCAATGGTATCTGTCTATCTCAGCTGCTCCTCCCTTTTACGCAGTATCCAGCACAATGACCTCGGCCTCGGCCTCACCGACGCTCTCGACGCCAAGCTTGTCCCCAGCATGGACGGCATCGATAAATGCGCCGTCACCCTCAGACAAGACGGCGTCGTCGCGGCCGTCTATCCTGACCTTGGCCTTGCCGCTCTTGGTCATGGGCAGGTGGACAAAGACCTTCCGCTTGGTCTGGGTGGTGCCGCGGCTGCCGATGCTCCACTCAAAGGCGCGGCCGGGGGCGATGATGCCGGCCGCCATGACGAGGTCGGCGTGGATGGGAATGGTGCCGTCGACGGCAGGCTCGGCAGCCTTCTCCTCGGCGGCCGAGGCGTCGGGCCCGCCCTTGAGCGGCGACAGGATGGGCACAAAGGCGGCGCGCTTGGCGTCGTCGTCAAAGTGGCGCGTGTGGTAGTTGGGCGGCAGGCCGCGCTTCCAGGGGATGGCCCAGATCTGCAGGAAGTGCACCGTGTCGCGCTGGTGCTCGTTCATCTCCGAGTGCGCGATGCCCGTGCCGCCCGTCGTGAACTGCACGTCGCCGCGGTGCATGCGGTAGAACTGGTCGGCGCTGGCGTCGCCCTCGGCGCCCTTGCGCAGCATCGAGTCGCGGTGCGTCAGCTCGCCCGACAGGATGTAGCTGAAAATCTCAAAGTCGCGGTGCGGGTGCGTCGGGAACCCCGTCTGCGCCTTGACGCGGTCCTCGTTGAGCACGCGCAGCGCGCCAAAGTGCGTGTAGTCTGGGTTGTACCAGTCGGCGAACGAGAAGGAGTGGTACGTGTTGAGCCAGCCGTGGTCCGAGTGGCCGCGGGTGCCGCTGCGGTGCGGCGAGATGCGTGCGTGGCGGAGCGTCTTGGACATGGTCGACTTGACGGTGCTGTTGAGCATGAGTGGTGTCGAGCTGGTGCTGTTGTTTGTGTTCGTGGTTGTGTCCCTCGCTGAGAGAATGGCTGTGATGCTGTCTGCGAGTGGTGTCTTGAAGATGGTGATGGCCAGAAGAGCAACACAAATTGCTACGACGAGCGCGGGGCGCGGCATATATACTTTTCTTTTCTTGGGTTCTGAATTCCGGTCGTTGCTCTGGATCAATCGAGAAGAGGCTCGTTGCAAATGTTTTGAATGATGGGTAACTGGTTTGTCAATTGACAGGAGGCTTTTGTAAGTAAACGCAAAGGGGGGGGGGTCCGGGTCTTGTGAGATTTCGTGATTCGGCGCTCTGAGATGCTTAGACGGGATTATTCATGCTGACAGGCGGCGCGCCCCACCTGGCTCCGAGGGAACTCCACATTGCACTGCATTTGCCCCGCCAGATCGGCCTAAGCGGCCACCCCGCTTCGATGCGGCCTTGACGGGGCCGGGCCTCGAACACCTGAGTAAGCGCCGACCAATGATGACGACATGGATTGTCATCGTTCATTGGGTTTGGCCTGCGATCACCTTCGTCGTCCTGTCAAGATGGCTTCATCTATGACTGTTCACTCCATCTGTTTCATGGTGTTTCATCGTCGGAAATACTCAAAGACGCCATGAGTAGTTTGATTGTCACAATGTCAAATTATCATTAGCCTCCAAAGACCGTATCTAGATCCTCCAACGCCGTCTACCAGAGGTATCGCAAAAATGCTCCCCACTAGCCGCCCCACGCCCTGCGCTTAGCAAACAAGTGACACGACTCTGGGCCACACAAACAGGTACATCATGTACACCGCAAACAGAAATGACAGCACGGCGACTTCCTCTGAGCCAAAGTGGAACGTGTACCGCATGAGGTCGAGCGCCTTGGTCTTCTGCCTCCGCTCCGCCAGCTGTTGCTTCGGAAAGTTCTTCGTGTGGGCCCACGGCACGGGCAGGCCTCGGTCGTCGAGGATCTGCTCGGCTGTGATTTTGGCCCCCGCCAGCACAATGGGCACACCCGTGCCGGGGTGCGTGCTGGCGCCGACAAAGTAGGCATTCTCGAGACCCTCGGCGCGGGTGCGCGGCCGGAAGGCGAGGACGTTGGGCACGCTGTGCGTCAGCCCGAGGATGGCGCCCTTGTCGAGGTTGAACTTGTCTTCCCAGCTCAGCGGGTTGTTGACAATCTCGTTTGTGATGAACTGCCCAAGCGGCGCACAGCCGGTCCTCGCGCTGATCGTCTCGAGCACGGCGGCGCGCGCGCGGGCGACGAGGTTGATCCACGATTTTTCGTCCGTCGGCAGGCCAGGGGCGTCCACACTGCCCTTGGAACGGGCGAGGTGGCCAATGGGAACGAGAACAATGATGGCGTCGCCGTCCGCGGGTGCCGCACTCGGATCGATCCTGCTCGGCACATTGACGTAGAAGCTCGGCTGATCGGGGAGACCGTGGCGCTTGAAGATGGCATCGAAGGACTCGCGGTATTCTTCGGCGAGGAAAATGTTGTGGGTGCCGAGCTCGGGGATCTTGCGGTTGACGCTCCAGTAGAACGAGATGGAACTGCAGGATGCCTCCTTCTTCTGCAGCGACTGGCTGTATGCAACGGTGCTGGGCGTCTTGGGCATCAGGTTGCTGTAGGCGTAGACGAGGTCGGCGTTGATGACGACGACATCCGCCGACAGAGACTCGCCCGACTCGAGAACGACACCAGTCGCGCGGTGGCTCTCCTCGGCGGTAGAAATGCTGGCGACGGACGTGTTGAGGCGGTATTCCACGCCCATCTGCTCTCCAATGCGGACGAGCGCCGCGATGATGGCGTGGAAGCCTCCCCTGGGATACCAGATGCCCTCGGCAAACTCGGTGTACTGGAGCAGAGAGTAGGTGGCCGGCGCATCGAATGGGGACATGCCCATGTACATGACGGCAAAGGTAAAGACACGCCTGAGCCTCTCGGTCCAGAAGTAGCGACTCGCGCGAGCATAGATGCTTTCGAGGGGGTGAAGCGCGACGACACGTTTCAGCAAGCTTGGCCGCGCGAGGTTGAACAAGGACGTAAAGTTGCGATGAAGAACGTCGGTCACGGACACCTCGTAGTGGGTATGCGCCTCACGCATCCAGCTCAGGTAGCGCGCAAACCCTTCCTTGCCCTCCCAGCGCTCGACTTCAACCTTCATGGTCGCCAGATCGGACGAGTGCTTGAAGAGCTCGCCGTCGTGGAACCAGACGTTGTAGTTGACATCCTGGCAACGGAGGAGGTCGACACCCGAGTCGGCAATGGTGGTGTCCAGATCGCGGAACGTCTCATGGAAGAGCTGGGGCAGCAAAAGGAGCGAGGGACCTTGGTCGAAGCGGTAGCCCTCGTGGTGAATGAGGGAGCAGCGGCCGCCAGTGAAGTCATTCTTCTCGAGGACAGTCACCTTGTAGCCAGCCTTGGCAAGACGCGCAGCAATGGCGACACCACCTGCGCCGGCACCTAGTTTGCAGAAAAGGCGTCAGATAAGATCAGAGTAGAGGCAGGCAACAAAGGTTCCACGGGTCTTACCGACGACAATGGCCTTTCGAGGCTTTTCGCCGCCTGACTTCTGCATTGTGAATACTTGCAAGCTGTCTGTTCGTGTGTCTTGCTGTAACGAGCTTCAATGTGGAAAGACAGATAGGCACGAAGGTGTACAGGGCAAGCTTGCGTCTTATCGCGACTGGAGTACAGATGACGAGAGGGTGACTGTACCTCTTGTCAAGCAGGAGGTGGTAGCCAGAGATGAACAAGTAAGACACAAGAGCTAACATGCGGCGGGACTACAGGTAGTTAGATGTAGAGAGCGCATGACGCGATGAAGAAAGGTCTCGGTCCAATGCGTATCCCATGTGCGAGGCTAGCCACCACTCGCGCATGATGTACCGGTAGGCGGAGCTCGAGGAAAACCTCCGGCCATCGTGTCCGAGGCGCGTGGTTTCATGGGCGCGAAGTGCAGTGATGACACTTAGATTCGGGAGATGCATGCAAGGGAGCTCAGTGGCAGGCCTGCCGGGGGTGGTGGCTTGTGACAGAGCTTGGCGTGCAGAAAGTCGAAGGTCCTGGGACAGCCAGGCGATTCGCGAGTAGAGACTGGTCATTGCGTGGGCCGCAGAGGCAGAATCGAATCAAGACCAGAAATCCAGACCAGGAGGGATAGCAACCGCGGTGGTGATGCTTGGCCTGTGACACTGCGCCTGCTGCGGGGGGTCAGGACTGGGACCAGGCAAGTAGCCCGGAGAACAGGCCGAGCGAACGAGGGCTCGGGTGGAACAAAAGGAAAAAAACTGACGGTTCTCATTGGTAAGGCATGTGTCGAGGGGGCTTGGCCTGACTTGGGGTTGACGTGTAATGGACGTCGATGTCGAAAGATACTACAGTACAAGCACATAGCCATGGTGAACCCATTCGGAAGATGCGGCGTGGTTGAGGGGGGGCTGCGGACACGGTAGGGCTCTGGCAGGGGAAAAGCGGGTCGCTGTAGGGGTGTTGAGCCAGCAGGAGCCAGCAGGAGCCAGCAGGAGCCAGCAAGAGCAGGGCTCCAAGGGCAGGAGTCTGGCATGAACGCATCATAGACTTTTGGAAAAATGCGCTGTATTTCCCCATTACACCCACTACAGGGCTGAAGCCACGTCCACCTGAAGGCACGGCCTGCCAAGATGTCCGAAGTCCGACGAAGAAAACATCCGTAGCGCAGAGACGGACGGCTGACAAGGCGCGAGCCATTTCGCTGGTATCATGCCGTCGGTGTATGCCCCTGCATTAAGCAACCGCGCTCGAGAAAGGTAAGCACGTGTGCTCAGGCAGTCAAGTACCGTATCGGAGCCTTTCTGTGCGAGTGCGAGTTGCTGCGTCGTTGTGTGAGTGATGAAGCGACGATTACGACAGTCGTCACCTCTGCAGATTGGACTCTCCCTGCCCGGCCGGCACTCTTTCATTTTTTATTTTTTTTATTTTTTTTATTACTTTTCTATCTGGCTCACCATCCGTGTCAGCAATCAGCATTCAACTCTGTTGTTGGCTGTGCAGCACAAAGTCTCGCGTCTGTCGTCACACTGTCATCTCTCACTCCTATTCTCTCCTCTTTCCCACACCAAGCACCGACCTCACCTAGTCACCCCCGCCCAGTCACTCACTGTGTATCCATCCCTCTGATTCACACCCTCTTTCTGTCACAATTGATTCACCAGTCAACGCCTCCATGTGTGTCCAGCGTGTGGCGCACCACCCCAACGATCGGTACCTTGCATCACCTATCAGCCCGCCAGTTGGCGCATCCCCAACACCCAGGTACTAAGGGGAAGGATAGAGCACCCGTTCCACACCAAAGCCTCGATAGACCAGCCATGGGCAGGAAGCAGCAGTAATTAATACCCCTCTCGACAGAATTCTCCTGGATATTCACCATCTGTACCCGACCGATAAGTCTGCTCAGTAGCTTAGCTACACGTTGCGCCGTTTGAGATCACCAAACGCCAACTTTCACCACTACCCACTCACTCCCACTACCTATTACCCACTACCCACTGCTGTGAAATCTTGCCATCTTTCCTCAGCCAAACGCGCCTGCCGGGACCTGACAAAGACGGTCGCCTCTTTGCCGGCGCGCATATCACCCATTATGGGGTACGATTACGCACTCGTGTGAGTGTCCCCTTGGCCTGCTCGTCGTGGGAACCCGTGGTGGAAAGCTCACAGTTCTAGCCACCTCTTCTGGACAGTGCCGCCTGCCACCCTCTTGACCGTTCTGGTGTACCCATTCTTAACACGCGTCGACGCGGCAAAACTGTGCTTTATCATCACGGTTGCCGTTGTGGCCACCATCCCCTGGGACTCTTACCTGATTCGCACCAACATCTGGAACTATCCGCCCGATGCAGTCCTCGGCTACTCCCTCTTTGACATCCCCGCCGAGGAGCTTTTCTTCTTTGTCATCCAGACCTATCTCACAGCACAGCTGTATATCCTGTTCAACAAGCCTGTGCTGCACGCCCAGTATCTCAATGCACCCTGGGCTGTCCCTGCCGGCATTCGAAGGGCCAAGGTGGCCGGGCAGCTCTTCCTCGCAGCCGCCATTGTCTACGGCTGTCATCTCATCTCAGGACGTGCCGAAGGTACCTACCTAGGCCTGATCCTGGCATGGGCTGCCCCCTTTGCCCTCTTGACGTGGTCCATCACCGCCCATTTCATACTCGCCCTGCCATGGACTTCGACCCTGCTTCCCATTGTCGCCCCGACAGTCTATCTCTGGGTCGTCGACGAGCTCGCCCTGGGCCGTGGCACCTGGGCCATCCAGAGCGGCACCAAGCTCGGCGTGCGCCTCTTCGGCCATCTCGAAATTGAGGAGGCCGTCTTTTTCCTCGTCACCAACATGCTTGTCGTCTTTGGCCTTGCTGCTTTCGACAAGGCCGTCGCTGTCGTCGACGCGCACCCCGACGTCTTTGCCGAGCCTTCGGACACGCTGTCCATGTCCCTCATCAAGGCGCGCTTCTGGCCGAGCAAGCACTACGATATGCATCGCATCACCGCCATCAGGCAGGCGGCGTCGCGCCTTGCCAAGAAGAGCCGCAGCTTCTCTCTTGCCAGTTCAGCATTCCCCGGCCGTCTGCGTATCGACATGACCCTCCTGTATGATTTCCCACTACATTAATTACCTGGGGCTTCAAGGCGACGTATGCTGACCCTGCTACCAGATACTCGTACTGCCGTCTGGCAGACGACCTCGTTGATGACGCGGCTGACAATGTTGTTGCGTCCGACTGGATCGATAAGCTGCAAAAGCATCTCGACCTTTCCTACGCTGAAGTCGACAAGACGAAACCCTCGTGTGGGAAGGAGTCCATGTCGTCTCGCGAGTACGCCGAGTCGACCTTTCCTTCTTCCGCATGGGAGACCCTGCGTCAACTCCCTGTCCATCTCATCCCCAAAAGACCCTTTGACGACCTTCTCCAGGGATTCGTCATGGATATGGACTTTGACCAAGGGGCCGGCCAGTTTCCGATCACCAATGTAGCAGATCTCGAGCTATACGCTTCCTACGTGGCGAGCACTGTCGGTCTGATGTGCCTCGAGCTCGTCTTCCACCACTGCATCCCCGGCTTTCCCACCCATCTCTACGACACTGACGCCACGGCCGAGACGGACGTCACCAAGCTGAGCCTTCCCAGGAACAAAGTGACCAGTACGGGTGTCGTCCTGCAACGCCACAGCACAAAAGGAGCCATCACCCGCAATCAGCTCCGTCTCGCCGCCTGCCGCATGGGTCTCGCCCTGCAGTACGTCAACATTGCGCGCGACATTGCCGTCGACGCGCGCATCGGTCGTGTCTATCTGCCGACGACGTGGCTCAAGGAGGCCGGTCTCACGCACCAAGATGTTCTACGCAGCCCCCGCAGCGACGGGGTCATGCAGGTGCGCAAGCGGTTGCTGGACCTGGCTTTTGACCTGTACGACGAGTCCAGGGTCGTCATGGTGGAAATTCCGCCTGCCGCTCGAGCGCCCATGATTGTGGCTGTCGAGAGCTACATGGAGATTGGCCGCGTGCTTCGGGATGGTACGGCGGCCGCCAAGGAGCCCCAGGAGGCTGAAAGGGGCATCAATGGCGGTGGGCGGGCGACTGTGCCCAAGGGACGGCGAATCTGGGTGGCTTGGAGCACTTTGATGATGTCGTAGAAAATTTGCTGCATTTGCTGCGACAGCGATGGATCGCGAGGTCCTGCTGCAAAGAGCCTACACTGCAGACGCAGGGATTCAGTAGGATATGACGTTCATGACATGACGAGGGCCCAATAGACTATTCGCTTTTAGATCATTTTGCTCTATCAAGACCAAAACCATCTGTCAAAGTAAGGATGATGTTGTCAAAGTTACATGACGGTGCAGGCAATCGAGTTGACGCAGTGGGGGCAGCGAGTGCATGGCAACGCCAGGTCCGTCCATGGTGCCGCACACCGTTTTGCCAAGACGGGCGAGCCGCATGTAAACGCCGCCACAAACGGCAATAAGCTCCAATCCGTCAGCCCCACGTTAAGACCTCCGTCAAGAACTTCCATCACCAGCTTCCTTCTTCATCGAAATCCCACCGCTCTCCACGACACAACTCGACTCGACTGGCACCCAAAGAACACATGCCACAGCCTAGAGGCATGACAATGTAGCGCAGACTTCCATCTGCTTCACCAATTGGGACCTCCTCGTACCGCAAAAGTCGCACGAGAGTCGGGCACGCCAGCCCTCTCCTCCGCCCTTCGCGCTTCGACCTCGAGCCTCGATGCATCTTGTCCGATTCGATCGTTAGCGACCGACCGACCGACCGCTTCAGCCTGCTGCCTGCAAGTGGCCGAACATACATTCTACACTAGATTCTCTGGAACCTTGATTTTGCCCGTCATGAGGGCAGCGAAAACTTGGCGGCCTGTGCTGCGGGAGCTCACGAAGCCCACGCGAGCATCCCACATGGCGACCAGCACCGCGCGGCGCGCCTTCACGACTACATCAAGTTGTCACGCACAGCTACCGAACCCACCGCCACCCAATACAGTGCCTCCTGTATCCCAACAACAGGCAGAACGAGCCCTCCTCGCCAAACTCTCGACGCTGACACCCGCCCAAATCTCCACGCTCCTGTCCGCCCCGCCAGGCACCCTCCCAAGTGCTCCCTCACCACAGCCCTTCGGCGTCCCGCCTCCGCAGAGCCGCCTGCGCCGCTGGACGCAGCGCCTCGCCATCGCCTTGCTCTCGCTCTACGTGGGCTACGCGGCCGGCGACGAGGTGTCCAACCTCAACCCGACGTTCCGCAGCCTGGCCCACGCCGAGCTCTTCGACGACCAGGACGCGGAGGACGACCTGGCCCACACCGGCGTCCCCCCCATGGTGGCGCAGACGCAGAACGCCCTGTTCTTCCAGAGGGACTACCCGCTCTCGGTCCCGCTCTTCGACCAGTCCGACCGCAAGGCCCTCTACGACATGGTGGCCGAGACGGGCGTCGTCCAGACGTCCCCCCTCGACGACCCCTACGACACAACCCCGCTCTGCTGGCCCGCCCACGCCGAGCTGCCGCCGCACCTGCGGCCCGCGCACCTCGTGACGGGGCCCCTCGGCAACGACAAGGGCCTCGGCTTCGTCCACCAGGTCTACCGCGACCAGCACACCGGCCAGCTCTCCCTCCTGCTCACCTTTGGCTCCGGCACCCAGGGCTTCCCCGGCGTCGTCCACGGCGGCGCCATCGCCACCGTCATGGACGAGGCCATGGGCCGCGTCGCCGTCCAGGCCTTTCGCGGCGGCGCCCCCGTCACGGCCAACATGGACGTCCGCTACGTCGAGCCCCTCAACCCCTACACCCTCGTCGTCGTCCGCATGGCCCCGATGGACGACGCCGCCGCCGCCCGCCAGGACGTCAAGGTCCGCCGCGCCAGGATGGTCAAGCCCTGGGAGCAGGCTGACGGCTGGGAGCACGTCGAGCGCCCGCGCGATGCCGCGGCCGTGGCGGCTGCGGCACTGGCGACGACGCCGGCGACCGGCCGCGGTGGCGACGGTAAGTCGTCCGACGCCGTACCGGAAGACAAGGCGCGCAAGGTCTGGGTCGTGGCACGCATGGAGTTGGCTGCAACGGGCGCGTTGGTCTGCGAGGCCACAGGACTCTTTGTCGTCCCTAAAGGTGTGGACCTCAAGCCGGTGGACTGGCGATGGTGATACGCTACTTCACTGCGGTAGCCTCGCTGTTGGTGAAACATGGGATGAGGTCGTGTCTGTTGTTAATGAAGCAATGTACAAGAATTCCATAGCTCAACTCGCGTGTACTCTGTTGTATTTGTTCATATAGGATCTTTGGCAATCGATTACATGCGAAACGCATGTGCAAACAGTCTCGTCTCAAATGGACCGAAATCGCGCGCCATCCGACTCGTGTATTCGTCGCATCATGACTACATCTCATCGAGCCATTTTCGGAAAGAAATCCTCCGCCATCGAGATCACGACTGGTACCCAGGGTTCGTCGTCGTCCAGTGCGGTCTAACTTGATCCATGGGGAGGTAGCCGTACCCATTTGCGACAGGGTAGGACTCGCCTCCACCACCTCCTTGATAGGCACCACGCCCTCCGCGATAACCTCCGCCCCCTCCACCACCCCGGCCCCGCCCGTTTCGGTAGCCGCCGCGATACCCACCGTTTACTTGATAGCCCTGACCGCTGTATCCTGGGTAACCCTGGCCGTGGTAACCCATGGCGTTGTCATGGGAGCGCATGGTCTGCGGAGAGGATGGTTCATGGTTGTAATGGGAGTGGTTGCCGTAATCCCCTGGGTGGCCACCGCCGCCCGCATGGCCGTTACCCTGATGACCATTGCCGCCAGAACCACCGCGGCCTCCGCCGGGACCACCACCTCCACCACGTCCTCGACGGCGCTGGAACGGCTTCCTAGACCCCTTTGGCTTGCCCTCCACCGAAAAGTTTATCCTTTTGACGGGGTCCTTAACCATTTCGTTGTCTTGCAGACCCAGCTTCTGTAGCTCCTCCTTGGATGTCGTCCATAATTGGAAGGCGTTTTCAAGCTTCTCCAACTGGCGGGTCTCAGGTACCTAGGCCTTCACGTACTCGCCCTGCTTGTCATAGTCGAATGCTTGCTTGACTGGGTTGAAGATGCGTGCCTCGCCACGTGGATCATTGCCCACTCCGGCGACGTACTGCCAGTTGGACCAGTTGGAACTGACGTCGTAGTCGATCAGCATGCACTCGTACCATTCTGCACCGTATCGCCAGTCGATCCCCAAGTGTTTGGCCAAAAAGCTTGCCACGTTTTGCCGTGCGCGGTTCGAGGTGTACCCAGTGTGCAGAAGCTCACGCTGAGACGCATCGATAAATCCCATGCCTGTCGTACCAGCGAGGAAGCGCTTGAGAATCTCGGCAATTTCTGGCTGCTTTGCCGTCTTCCACTGGATCGGCTTCCGATCGTCCCGGAATCCCTCGGCACGGAACAGGCGGTGTCCGAACTTCCTGGTGCAAAGACGCATATAGTCACGCCAGAGGAGTTCAAATCGGACAGCTTTGGTGCCTTCGTTTTCGCCATTGCCGAAACCGTCAATTTCCTTGTACTCGGGGCCTTGACCGTCCTCGTATTTCACCATCTCCTCGTGCACCTGCCTCGCCGTCAGACAACCGAGAGCCAGGTATCCAGATAGCTTGGTGCTAAAGTCAACTCCCAAGAGGCCGTTTCTGGTATTTTTGTAGTTGGACATGGAACAAGACTTGATCAGGTGATCGACGCGCTGGAGCGCATCCAACTCACCGCCCTTCAACGGGTGTACAGAAGTTGCGTTCGACGGGTACTCCGGAGCGACATCTAGCACATCCTTGACAGGCTTCAATAATGCCGCTTCGAGTTCTTCGTATGTTGCAGGCATCTCAAAGGGCCTCTCTTGAACAGGCACCACATCGTCGCTGGGGTACGGTGGCAGAGAATTGTTGCTAGGCTTCGGCAACGTTGGCCTGGGCCGCTCCCTCAGAGGTTCTTGAGTTTTGCGGTATGTTGTGAAAATGTCCGGTAAATCGTGCGCATTCTCCAGTTCGGTGTCGCGACTAGACTCATGTTAGTACGACATTCCAAAATTTGAAAAAAGAAAATGGCACAACGCACTCGTCAACGAAGTACTTCTCGTCTTGCCACAGCTTGAACTCGATGTTGTTCTCCGAGCAAATTGAGGAGACAGCCTTTTCATCTCTTTTTTCCTCTACCGCATCTTCCAGAGTCATCCAAACGGCGCCGACGGTTTGCTGTTTTTCGGTAAGCCCCTTGAGGAGGCCATTCAAGACGTCGTCAAACCTGCCGGCACGAAGACAGAGTCCGCTGCCAAGACCCTGGAAAGACTCCTGAAGGTTCCAGACGGATTGCACAATAAACTTGGCGCGGTGCGGACCGCATCTCCAGAAGCTACCGACCTGACTCCTGGCCTCTGGATACGGTGATTTACTTCCATCGCGAATGAACCCCGAAGTTTCGATTTGATGCGCCGGGAAGACGTAGACGGGTAGGAGATGGGTAAAGCCATGATCTTTGCTAGTAGCCAAGTGGTGAAGAATGGGATTGTCAGACACACGCAAGTCGTGCCGAAGTAGATATATCAGGATATTCGTTGACGAAGGCATAGCGTCGAGATTCGTCGTCTTTGTCGCGCTCGGAGGAAATTCAAGGTTGTAATTGTACAGAAATGAGACGACAGGAATTGCAACAGCCTGGTAGCTGTAAGGGTGGACTGTACTGAGGAGGCACAAATAAGGACGGGTGTGGAGATGGCGTAGATGTAGGATAAATCCTGGGCCTTGATGCTGGGCGTCAAGGGTGCCGCCTGGCTGGGTCTCTGCCGAGTTAGCTTGTGACGCTAGAAGGATAGAGGCGAATGAGTAGATTGGAACGCCACTAGGTCATGAATGTGAGGGTCATACAAACGAGAGATTCAGTTATATGCAAGGGGGGGAGGCCAACCGAGCGATGGAGTAGCAACGGGGCTTTGGTTGCCGGCGCTAGGCACGTAGGCTTAAGACGAAGCAAGATGCTGGAAACTGACTCAACTACCAACTTGGTACCCTCCGATAAAACGCGGGATGGGGTTGGCTTCTTGTAGGCCAGCAAGGATGGATAAGATCGTCCGGGCAGCGAGGATGAGGACGAGGGTGCGGGCAAGAAGAAAAAGCAAACTTGGGGTTGCCCAGCCGGTGGCTTACTGGCTGTTCGGTTCAGATTGAACAAGAATTGGTCAACCACCGGTCAGTGAGCAAGTGTGCGCTGGCGCTGTATTCGGTGAAGTTCGTAGGATGAACAGCCGCAAGGGTCGATGGACCGTACAGACCCTATAGTAGAGATGTCAGGGTGCTTGCAAGGGCGGGACCAGGGGCATCTGAGACAAGGAAGGGCGCATACCTGTACCAAGTCGATGACCAGTTGTTCGGAAGGAGAAAAGAATAGGCAAATGGCTGGCAAAAAAAGGTGGCGGACTGGAGAAAGGAATGATTTCTCGATGGCTAAACCCTGGCTACCACATGTCGTCCGCCCGGGCCGCACAGCTGGTGCATGCTTCGTGCTGCGGTTTTGCGGGTCCGTGGCCACGGCAGAAGGCACATGATGAGGCGGCGGTCGAGGCCCTCTGTGAAAGAGGGCTAAGAAACGTCTTGATCGAACATGGGATTCTAGGCGGCGGTACGATGAGGGCTGCGACTTGAGATGGCCATGTTGGGTTGGAGATCGGGACCAGGGGTGGCTCTGATGCAGAGGATCAGTCCGGGGTCGCCAGATCGGAATCTCCTGGCGAATCAACGGGCGCGATGGGGGCGATTGGGGCGCCCAGCAGCGGGGCGTTCCCACCAGCCAGAAATCCAGGGTCCTCTGCTGCGCGTGGAAGGTGCAAGCGGCCACCAGTCCCCTGGCGACGGCAGGCACATCTGCCATCACCATTACCAATCGCCCATCATCACTGCCTCGCCTAAGCCTTTGCTTCTGATGATTGGCTCAGTCCATGGCCATGACAGTGCCACGGCCATCGACATGTGTAGTGTGATCTCTTCAGATCTGTCGCGCGCCGAATGCCCTTTCCTATCGACCCGGAAAACGCACCTGCCCACAGTCATCCTGCTTGGGGTAGCCAAGAACATCAGAACATGACGACCAGTGACGTCGACCATTCTGCAGGTCAGACTTCCTGTCTCGCCAGGGGCCGCTTCAAACAGTTTGGTGGGGTGTGTACTGTAAGGTATGGTGGGGCCTGTCGGATCCGACCCCGATCTCCGTAGCCGCATTCACTTGTCAGAACGACTTTTGTCCAACTCCCATCCTCATCCTGCACCTGCCGGCTAGACCATGGCCCTTCTGAGACATGACGAGCTTCTTCCCATGCCATGCCTAGGGAATCGCCTCCGCTGAGGGTCGTGGATCTTTACACGACCTAAGTATCCTCAGCCATGGGAGCTGCCAATCGGTTCGGGCTACCGAGATCTAGTGGAGTAGAGCAAGAATATGATACCAGTGTTGCTGCCACAAGCAAACGAAAGCGAGGGCGCGTCAGAGTCTTTGGGCCATCGTACTACTTCGCTAACTAGAATGTAGAAACGTCTGCAGTGACCCCCAACCTGAGGGCCACAAGACCAGTAACCTACCACCTAAGGTACAAATACACAGACGTCTTCCTTGCAACTCCCACTACGTCAAGCCACCCAACCTAGAAGAGGTTATCAATGCTCTTTTTCTTGCTCTCGCGCTCCACACGTGTGATGAAGGTGTCCGGCCCGGGGCTTTGGGTGAGCTTGTGGCTCGCATTGAGGTAGTTCTTGCTGAAGATACTCCAAAGCTCCTTGTCACGGTCATTCGATTGACCAGGTCGAGGATAGTATGGATCATTGAAGATGAATGCCTTAACGAGTTTGTCAATGCTGGCTTCATTGTCTTGGATCGGAGCACATCTAATAGCGAGGAAATGTCAGTCAAGAGTTTCAACAGTGTGATATGAGAATGCGACTTACTGGTTGAAGTCGATGAGCCACATTTCCATAGTTCTCCGAGCGAAGTCGATATTAACAGCCTCAGACAACTGCCAAACGTTAAGGGCTTCAGCTTCCTCCGAAGACAAGGTCTTAGTTCTAGCCGGAGAGCTTCCCAGCACAAACTCGACATCATTGCCGTCGACCATTGCGCCCCAGTGCATGATGGCCAGAGTGTTAGCCATGAGACGTGCAAAGTGAGCCGTGTCGAGTCCGATCGCCTCCATCTCATTGACATGAAGAGCGAAATTCTGGAGTTTCAGGTTTTGGGTCCTGTCCTGCATCTTGGTTGTGTGGCGGCGGCCAAGGTACATGCGAATGAGGCAGTTTTTGTTCTCAGGCTTGGCCAGAAAGTCCTGCTTCCGATTCTTGATGATCGTGGGTAAGAGAGCGTCAACAAGTGCTTCCCTTACAGGAAGGGGAGCGGGGAACACACGCTCCGAAACCAAGGCGAAGCTATTAACTTTAACGTTGGCATCAAAGAGCAGCCCGCACTCAACCCAGAACCTGGAGCTGGGAGCGTGCCAAGCATCGAGCTTTGGAACTCTCACGCTGATCTCATGGTCTGAGTCGTGTTCCCGAAAGGCATTTTGCATCCTCAAGTGCATGAGATAGTCGGCGTGAAGTTCGGCTACTTTGCTCTGAGAGTTGGGCAGCTTCGTGACCATTGTAGTGCCGAGCAGGCCATACACGGTACCGCACTGTCCCTTGCCAAGCTCCTCGAAGTATCGTAGAGCGGCGTTAGAGTGGCTGGAGTTGTGCTTCTTTGCGAGGCTCGAATTGGTCGAAATGTATGAGTTGGTCGAGAGCATGCGTTGGAGAACCTGCTCTGGAGAGGATTTCTGCAACTCCTCCTCGGTGAAGGGTTGCTTTGCCAGCTGGAGACTTGCGATAGCCATGCTTTTGATGGAGCTTGAGAGTGAGTTCATGGTCCAGTCGCTTTTGTCGCTAGTGTTTAATTCTCTGCGCGACATGATCGTGGATGGGTGGTAGACACAAGAAAATGAGTTAATAGTAGGGCAAGATGCTGAAGGTCCGAGAAGATGGTGGGAGGAGAACGGGTGGGGAGTATTCACAAGAAAGAAATTGTAAGGTCGACCCTTATATAGATAGGTAGGGAAGGTAGGCAGCCAGCGTTGTGGTCCTCAAGGTTGCGGCCGTGGCTTAAAGGTGTTGGTGGTGGCACTCAGTCGGTCAGTGGCATTCACCTGGTGCCTCCTATAAACTTAGTTCAAGGCACCCTCCTGCCCTGCTGAATAATTTCTCAATACACACACCTCCCTTCCGCACTGGACCTCCTCCAACTGAAGGAACTGAAAACCCTGCGAAGTTCAGCGTCTCCACCATAATCGAGAAACTTCCTGTCAATGCGTAGTTTAGAGCAGAGTGAAGGGGTCTTCCACAGGGTCCGCAGGTAGTTTGTTGAACCAATATTAGGGGATTCCCTAGGGCGGTGATCTCGATAGGGGATCACCGATATGGTGATCACCGTGGCCGCGGATTCACAGCTCCCAGGAGCACGTGAATCACAGCTTACGTGATCGGTGAATCAGATGGGTATATCCGATTCACGTGGGTAGTGGTAGTTCAGAGAGAGAGCATCAATCACATCACAAGACATATCACCTACCCTATGTATTCAGAGCTCTCAGGCACAGCCAATGCGCCCTCTCAACATAGTTAGAATATAGGTACGTGGTCGGAATACATCTGAATTCAGGCTATCCGCAGCTTGGAAGGCCCTCCGCAGCCTATATATATATATATATATATACACGTTTTCTCGTAGCCCTTAGCCCCTGACCGACCCCCTGCTTGGCGGCTCCTGGCGGCTCCGTAGGGTCGCCTGACACTTCCCTTGTCACAACAAACAATCAATCGTTCGTTGATGATCCGAAAAAGCTGTTGCCAGGTCCGTTCCCATATCTCTTCAGAATATCGAGGACCCCCTTCAAGTTTCATGTTCACAGGAGTATAACATCGGTGCGTTGGCAATGGCTATCAGGTGAGCAAGGCGTTCAGCCAGGTACCTGCCCATACCTACCTGCCTAGGTACTAGAGATCAAAGTTTCAAGATGTGGCTGAGCCTGCCGTCCGGCCTCTGATGGCCAGAAAGGCTAACGAATGGCAAATATCGACGAGGGACAGTGTGCATGCTTAGTCGAACGCACTCTGTATCTGTATAGAAGTAATTTGGACACTCCTGGGGAAGAAGTGCGTTCCAGGATGCTTTGTTACTTGGGGATAGATACCTTTTCAAGTTTGGAGGGATGATGAATAGCCAGCAGATGGCCCAACCTATTCTTTGGGTGCAAGTATGGCACAAGTCGACGAATGACTGAGTACCAGCCCGAGGGGGGGGGGGGGGGGAATACGGAGCGCTCAGTACGAGCTGGTTACGTTGCACTCGGATAACAGCGCCAACAGCCATACTCCTCTAGGGCATATGCTTCGCCTCGGCACGGTACCATGGATGCAGAGGAACCCATCGGCAAATTATGCTCTGGCAAAAGTGCGGACACTGTCGTCTCAAAAGTCCCATCAGGGCACAAACCGCAATCTATTTCCCATCCTTTTTTCCCAGTGCAGATTGTTCCATGTTGCGACGTTTGTGCCATGACATCAGCCAGGGTACTAATCTTGCTTGTGAAGGCGCAGCCACAGAGAGTGTTCCATTGTGGCTCGTTGGACAGGATCTGGGGGAAAGTTACGCAGGCGTTGTTAGTGGGTACTAGGGTGGTTGTGGCTGCCCCACGCAAATCCCATGTACTTCTCCATCCCCCCCGACCTCTCTCGTGACGGAGGCAGCCAATGCCGTCGCGCGTGCCTGCACAGCCCCCCTCTTTTTCATACTGACGCTCGGTGCGGCGCGGGACTTGTGAGGCTGAGGCGGCAGGGCGGGCAGGCGTTGGTAAAGTCCCAAACCGCCCCCAGCCCAGTTCGTGACGCGGACCTCACTTCTCAACCGAACACCATCTCCTGCGTGCTGGCTCATCGCCATTCCGGCGAACAAACTCATCACTCATCCAGCTCAATCCATCTGCGCGGAGCGACAGAACATTTCGCTAGTCCAGCCGCTTTCATTGCACGTGCGACCCAACCTGCCTGACCGCCTTTCCCTGGACACACGCCTGCCTAATCGCTCACGCCCACGCCTCATTCGGCATCTCGAATTGGATCAATTTCATGTGGAGGGGGAGGTCATAACAGCAGGCGAGCCTAGCATGGCCCCTCCCACGACCTCGTCTGACGGCATCGTCGCCATGTCTCTGTCAGACGAAGACGACCAGGAGGGCACCTCACCAGCAACTGAATTACCATTGGATCAATCGGAACACTCGACCTTCGACACACTGGGTCTGCGTGCTGAACGCATCGCTCGCCGCTCAACGATTGCACCCCGCGCTCTGGACAAAGGTGGCATCGCTGGCGTCGTTGTCGGCGTATGCGTTGCTGTTTCGCTTGTCTGCCTCTGCTTCTGGCCTTTTATTATTCGTCGCATCAAGGCCAAGAAACAGCAGCACCAGGCCAGCCTTGCGACTTCCGATGCTGAAGCGAACCACACCCCCGTGACTGAGACTGCCGCTGGCCAAGAACCACACGCACATAGGCCGGCCACGCAACACTCTTCAAGAGACTCATTATCGCACAAGGAAGACCCCTTTGGCGGCCCTGGTCGACAGTCCAGCAAGGAGCTCGACCTAAATGCTGACAATGGTCCGGAGCACCTAAGTCGCGATGGGGCCTCGGCGCTGCATCAACGCGGGCCTTCAGACCATCTAGTCGTCGAACGAAACCAAGTTGTCGAAAGGCGTCACTCGGGCACATCGTTTGGCCAAAATCCGACATGGAACTCCCAAGGGCATATGCCCATCACTCCTGGCGGCATTGAGCTCATCACTACGCGGGCCGACGGCATGGAGTACAGTGATGTGATTAACGGACAGAGCGCGAGCTACTACAGCCCGACGGAGCCCACCGAGAACTTTGGCATGGTGACACCGCCGCAAGCCGATGAAGCGCAGTTCCCGGCGCCGGCAAGGTCCAACTCTCGGACAAGCTCGTTCAAATATAACCTCATGTCCATGGTGCGCCGGTTAAGCTCGAAAGATGCCGCCAAGACGCAGACGCCTTCGCCCACGATGGACTCTTTTGCGGCCCCTCCATCCAGAACCATGGGACCCCCAATTCACCCGCCTCACGGCATCATATCTCAGGACCTCTCTGAATCACCAATTACTCACACGCCACCACAGTTCCGTGACTTCAACTACCCCCTAGGCCAGGCTCCTACTCCGGCTCCAGCCCCAGATTCCTCACTTGTGCTTCCTGCAAGCCCAGTATCTACTACAGGCGCCGAGGGTGCACCCCTGTCCTGGGAACCTAAGGGATCGCCAACGCCTAAGTATCCCGACCAAGCCTTTCCGGGTACGGTGAACCCCATGGATGTTTGGGGGCCATCCAACCCATCAGAGCATGTATGGCGTACAAACCAGGAACTCTACTACATCGAGCACCCGGACATTGTCCCTCCACAAAAGTCGGACCCGCAGGTTACACGAATGGATTATAAGCAGCCTCAAGCAGGCGGCTCGGTTCCGGCGCAGTCGGCACACGGTAACCAACGAGTGCCAGAAGAGTTGCCGGCGCGCGCAGAGGCTGTTGTCAAGCAGGAAGCTCACCACGACGCGCATCAGTACGCTGCAGCCATACAGCCTGACGCCAATCACAACGTCACGGCGCCAGAGGTGTCAGCTGCGCAGGACTACACACATCTCATGCCAGCTACGCACAACCGAGTACCGTCCGTGGATGGAAACCTAACGGATCCTTCTGACCACACAACGCCGATGGCGAGTGGCATGTCCTCAGGGCCATCTGTGCAGAACACGCCCAACACGCATCTGACAGAGATCACACCATCACCCCGGTCAGACGGCATACCAGATATCAGGAACAGCTCCTCGCCATACGCTGGTTCCAGCGGCTCACCACGCTCGTATGCATGCGACCAATGTCATCGCTCTTTTGACCAGGTCCACAAGTTAAAGTAAGCCAGTCCATCACAGCCCAGCTGATCGGGCTCCGCAACTAACGATTACAGCCACCACAAGAGGTACCATGACCGGCCGCACAAGTGCGAGCACAAGGGATGCGATAAGCAGTTCGGAACCAAGACACACCTGGATCGTCACATCAACGACAAGCATACCAAATTGCACAAGTTCCACTGCCTTGACCCGACTTGCTTGTACTCCAAAGTGGGAGGCAAGGGTTTCCCGAGGAAAGACAACTGGCGGCGACACATGATCAACAAGCACTCAATCAACCCGACGGAGGACCCTGAGCCTCATTTCGTCGATGAGACCATGACCGGGACTTGATTTGGATAGATGCGCTCCATTGCGTGTGGGGCCGTGTATAACGAGAGTGGCGCTCATCCTCATCCAGTGCGATGGGCCCCATCAACAGAGCGGGCGAGCGGGTACAATTGCAAAGAACGCAGTTGCAGCGAATTAAGCACAACTGGCGAGTCTGCTTTTTTTTTCGTCCACATCATACTTGTTTGTCTTTGTCTTTGTCCATGTCGTCTTCTTTTACTACTACTTGTTCCTCTGTTCTGTTCTGTTGGCAGCATTTAGGCGTTGGGAGGCAACGGGAAATCACGATTGGCAACACCAGCAGCAGCACCGTGTAGGCGCAAAGGGCATAGGGTGAAGACAAGCCCATCGTGCTTATCACCAGCGATTTTTACAATTTTCATTCCATAAAAAACACAGGCCAGCCCCGCCTCGACGGTCGGGGGTCATCATTCCCTTCGTTTAGATGGGTGGGGGGGTATCAACTCAAATCCTTGATCAATTTCCGTACCAATTTCTGCTGCTCATCCACCGTGAGGCTGCCTTCATCTGTCTGCTGCACGGCCCTGCCGACGGCTATGATCGTCTTGACGCTCTCGCTGTTCACCCACAGGCGGCCGTTCCTGCCGACGGCCGTCTCAAAAGCGGCGCCGAGGCTGCCGAGCTCGTCGAGCACGACGACCTTGCCCTCCTCGGCGCTGCGGGGCATCAGCAGGCGGCGTGCCATGCCGAGGGAGATATTGAAGAGCATGCCGCCCGTCAGGGGCCCGAGGCCGTCGGCCTTGCCGGTGGAGGGGTTGACGCACTCGAGCTCGGCGTCCATGTGCTTCTCGGCGCTGGCGACGCGGGCGTAGACGAGGGCGCCCGAGGGCAGCTGGGGGCGGTTCTTCTTGGAGGCGAGCTCGAAGGAGAACTGGGGAAGGAGAACGGTGGCGGAGTAGTCGGCGAGGTGGACGAGGAAGGCCTCCTGGGCCGAGCGCTGGACGGTGCCGATGACGAGGTCACCAACGGAGGGGACGTACTGGAAAAAAAGAAAGAGAACGCGTGTCAGCTTGTGAGTTCACGGACGGGCCCGACTGGAGGGGGAAAAAGATGGCATACCCTTCCGCGCGACTGCTCAACCCAGATAGAGTTCTTCTTGGCGTCTATGGCGAGGTTGCCGGCGATAGTGGGCTTGATATCGCGGGGAGGGACATGTCGCAGACCGGGGCCGAGTCGCAGGGGAAGCTTTGGGTGGGAGGGAATCAGAGAGGGATCGATGTCGTCCCCGGGAAGGACGAAGGGGCCTACTGCCGCCATATCAAGTTGTGTTTGTCGAGTGCTCCGACTGTAGGGTATGCGTCGGTTGCTGTCTAGCGGCTTGATCATGCGACAATGGCAATGGCAGAGCCTTGGACGAAGACTTGATCGAAGCTTTGCGACCGAGAGAAAGTCGGTGGGGCGTTCTGTTGACTGATAAGGATGCAGCCGCCGCTTATCGACCTCGTCTTGTGCCCGCTGCAACTGCAGCAGGGGGGGGCGCTTTGTGGGGAGAAGGCCACAGACGGCGCGGGCTGCTGCCAGCTGGGGCAACAATTTTTCCAAAATTTTGGTCGAGTGCTCCCCCACCACGACGACCGACCTTGGTGCCTTTTGAGATCCATCCAGATCGCGAACCAACCAAGACAACCTTCCCACGTACCAACACGATCTCTCGGACGCCATATACCCTTTTCTCCCTTCTTCTTCTTCTTCTCACAGACAAGTCACATACTAGTCCAGATGTCTGAAAACGCGGGCTCGCAGTCCGGCCCCGCGCCGAGCGACCGCGTCGTCATTGGCCTTGCCTTTGGCAACTCCAACAGCTCCATCGCCTACACTGTTGACGACAAGGCCGAGGTCATTGCGAACGAGGACGGAGGTGAGTTCTCATTGTACAGTCCGGGGCGCCCTGCAGTCAAGCTGATCTTGAATCACAGACCGTCAGATCCCCTCGATCCTGTCATACGTCGATGGCGATGAGTACTACGGCCAGCAGGCCAAGGCCTTCCTCGTCCGCAACCCCAAGAACTCGATCGGCTACTTCAAGGAGTTTGTCGGCCAGGAGTACGTTCTGTCCTCACCCCTGCGTATTTTTAACGAGACTCACCGTGTTGCGACAGCTTCGCCTCCATCGACCCCACCCACAACCACGCCTCTGCCCACCCCCAGGAGGCCGACGGTGTGATCACCTTCACCGTCAACGACAAGGACGCCGAGACTCCCTCCACCATCTCCGTGTCCGAGGTCAGCACCCGCTTCCTCCGCCGCCTCGTGGGTTCCGCCTCCGACTACATCGGCAAGAAGGTCACCTCGGCCGTCCTCACCGTCCCTACCAACTACTCAGACAAGCAGAAGGCTGCCCTGATAAAGGCCGCGACCGACGCTGGTCTCGAGGTCCTTCAGCTCATCGCCGAACCTGTCGCCGCCGCCCTCGCCTACGACGCGAGGCCCGAGGCCGAGGTCAGCGACAAGATTGTCGTCGTCGCCGACCTTGGCGGCACCCGCTCTGACGTGGCCGTTCTCGCCTCGCGCGGCGGCATGTACACCATCCTGGCCACGGCGCACGACTACGAGTTTGCCGGCTGCCACCTCGACGACGTCCTGATCGAGCACTTCTCCAAGGAGTTCATCAAGAAGCACCAGAAGGACCCCCGCACCAACCCCAAGAGCCTGGCCAAGCTCAAGTTTGAGGCCGAGGCCACCAAGAAGGCGCTGTCCATCGGCACCAACGCCAGCTTCAGCGTCGAGAGCCTCATTGACGGCTTTGACTTTGCCTCGACCGTCAACAGGCTGCGCTACGAAATGTCGGCCCGCAAGGTCTTCGAGGGCATCAACCGCCTCATCGAGGGCGTCATCAAGAAGGCCGGCCTCGACGTGCTCGACATTGACGAGGTCGTCCTGTCCGGCGGCACCTCGCACACGCCGCGCATTGCCAACAACCTCGTCGGCCTCTTCCCCGAGTCGACCAAGATCGTCGCCCCCGCCACGAGCGCCACGGCCATCAACCCCTCGGAGCTTCAGGCCCGCGGCGCCGCCCTCCAGGCCTCGCTCATCCAGGAGTACGAGTCGGACGACATTGACCAGTCCACCCACCCCGCCGTCACCACCGTCAAGCACATTGCCAACGCCATTGGCGTCGTCACGCGCGTCGCCGACGAGGACGTCTTCACCCCCATCGTCCCCGCCGAGACGGCCGTCCCGGCCCGCCGCACAGTCCACGTCCCCGTGCCCAAGGCCGGCGGCGACGTCCTCATCCGCGTCGTCGAGGGCGGCACCCACATCAAGGTCACCAAGCCCGAGCCCAAGGAGAAGAAGGCCGACGACTCGGACGACGATTCGGACGATGACTCGGACGAGGAGGAGGAGGGGGAGCACCGCGAGAAGGTCTGGAAGATCGGCAGCACCGTTGCCGAGGCCGCCATCCGCGGCGTCAAGGCGGGCGGCAAGGTCGAGGTCACCATCAACGTCAGCGCCGATCTCGGCGTCACCGTCACGGCGAGAGAGGTCGGTGGCAAGGGTGGCATTCGCGGCCAGGTCAAGGCGCCGTGAAGCGACTTTTTGTTTGGCAACAGGAAGAGCGAGAGAGGATTGCGATGAGAAAAGCGAGGGTATGCCGCCGGTAGATGCAGCATGAACAATGCTGGATCGGGAGGTGACAGGAGCCAGGAAATATCGATAGAGTACATGCGCGCGTGGGATAGAGCAAAAATGATGAATGCCGACATGTGGCATGAGCCGATGATGCCGTCGTTCTATTGTAGCTGGCGACCTTTTCTATTTCGATAGACATGAAGAAACGGCATGTGTTTTGATTCATCGCTCTGCTATTCGTGTCTTTGTCTGCGTCGAAAACTGTCAAGTCCCGCACAAGTCCCTCCTCAACGCTCAGTTATTAAGAGTGGTTTACCTGTGTCACAAGCCCGCAAATCGAACCGTGTGAAAAGTTCACGAGATCATCTGTTGTCACTCGGCAGGCTCCATGCAACCATGTCATCCCTCACCTCAACCTCCTCAAACTCTCTCGCCCGTCGGAACACGTCGCCCCTTCCGCCACCCCGCCCACCACTACTTCCACTTCCCATTGTCGGTGCCAAGCTCGTCAAGCTCTCGCTCCGGCTCCGCCCATTGTCATGCCTCAGCAGATCGTCACGACTGCTCGCCGCGCTGTCATCATGCCGGTGTCGCGATTCGTCCCGACTCTGGCTACCACTACTCGGATAACTGCTGAACCCGAACCCGCTGCCATTGTTATGCCTGCCCGTCACAGTACTCACGCTCTTGTCACTAGCATTGCTGCCCTTGTGTCTGTGTCTTTGCGGCGAGAAGGCATGCATGAGGGAACTGCCGTGATGCTGCGTGGGCTGGTGTTGTTGACGTCGCATCCGTCGGTAGTCGCCCGGCCGAAGGGTGTCGCCGGCCTGGCCACTACTGCTCCCTTCACCGTCATCGCTCGTCTCAGCACCGCCGTCAAGACCAGCGCCAGCGCCGGTACCACGGCTACGACTGCTCACATAGCCGCTGCTGCTGAGGCTAAACTGGCTCGTCTGCGATGGATTTCGTTGCGGCACTAGCGAGCTTTTGGGCTTAGCATGCGCCGACGAGTCGGCCCAACCGTTGCCACCAGCGAAGATGTCCTCGATGCACTGATCGGCGGGGAGCTCGCCCGGCTGGCGGGTCCAGGAGGCGGCGAGAGCTTTACGGTACATGTCCTGCACCTCGGCCTGCTCGCGCGACTTGGCGATGGATGGCAGCTCTGTCTATCTTTAGCACGTGCCACATGCTGCGAGAGTCACCTGTCATCGACGGTGTCGGAAAAGACTTACGGCCTGCGTCGTCTTGTTCGACCTGGTCACCTGACATGATGCCCGCGATGCCACCAAACACAGGGGCTGTCTTGAGAGGCGGGGCAACATAGTTCCTATCTCCGTCGACTTGGACCATGAGGATACCAATCTTGATGGTGCTGTTGATCTTGCTATCCTGCATCAAGTAGCGCCGAGCAATGCCCTCTTCGACGTCGGCATCCTCAGCTGCTGGAGTGCCACTCGAAGATGCAGGCCGGGATGATGTTGAAGACGCGCCAGTACCGCCGCCAATGCTGTTGCTGGTGCTCCGTTTTCTGAAGTGAGCCTTCTCTAGGCTCGTCCGCTCCCTGCCGTTTCGGACTGGGTTTGCAGCAGTAGCACTCGTACGGGGTAGCGCCTCGCTCTCTTCGACATATTCGCTCAAGTTGAGCCTGACGGTGCCCAGCAGGATCTTCTCATCACGACCGCCGTTGAGGCCACTGGATGACAATTCCTGAAGGATCTCGAGCTCGAGAGGGCATTCGTTCAAATTGTTGTTTTTGTCTAGGCCGATGCGGATATGACCAACAACCTTGGCATAGTTGAACTCGACCTTGTGGTTTGCGATGGGGCACTTTTGAGTGCGGCCGCGGTGCTCAGCATGAATCGAGTGTAAGAGATGCCATTTTACTACAGAGCCACCAGAGACTAATGGGACATTGTTGAGATCGTAAATCTAAGGCATGTCAGGGAACCGGTGGGTGGGGCCATGAGGAAGGGAGAGAAACTGACCTTGAGATGTAGTTCGAACTTGGGCTACAAGAGGTGGAAGCATTATCATCAGCTGTGCTCAGTGTGGATTGGTGTGACGCGCGCGCAACAAGAGGCGCATTCGCGGCCAGTCAGGCTACACATGGAACAGGCCGTCACGTATAGAGGGGCCACTCTTACCTTGCGCCCTTTGCTTACTGTTGGCAGAAAGTTCAAGTTAGCCACGGTTTTGAGAGGCCGCATGGTGTCGATGAGAGGCCGGAGCCTCGCAGCTTGCGGGCTACCAATCTAGTCCAGAGTCGCGCAGGTTGGGGTGGTGGGCTGGTTGGTGGGTTGAGGGCATCGCCAGACTCTGGTGAGCAGTGAAAATGAAGGAGGGGGACAGTGCCGGGATAAGGGATAGCAAAGGTGAGAGACAATGTGGCTTGGCTTACTGAGGGAAGTCATGTCTCGTGTGTCGCCGACAACATGGGCAGCAGCTTCACGCAGGGTGGGAATGCTGGGTAATCAGCAGCCCTTTACCCACAGACCAGTCAGTTTTTCGCCGAAGATTCGGTCTGTCGGTCGCCGTAGGCAAGACAAGGTCCCGGGGTAATGGTGTTGACAGGCAGACAACTGAAGCGAGGCAGCTGAACATGGATGGATCCGAATCTAGGCTGAAGGCGAAAACTGCCGCAGGGACGACACGATAGGACAGGCGTGCGCCAATGCACGTCGTTGAATGGTAATGCGAGCAGGGGTTGTAGTCGGATGCACACAAGGTGCCGTAGCCCGTTCTAGCCTTGGCGACCGAAGATGAAGGAGGGTAAATGGCCGCCCGAGGGTCGATAGGGCAGAACTCGGAGGAGGGGGAGTCGTTGTGTTTGAAGAGGTACTTCTGGAGATAGCTGGAGCGCAGGTGGTGGGCCAGAAAGGTGGTGTGATGCGGCTATAGAGGCACCGCCGGAAAGAGAAACCGAAGGGAATAAGGAAGGGTGTGAGATTTAGGTGCCCTGGTTGTTGGGCCTCGAGACGAAACGGTTTCGGAGGATGACGCGGTCAGTGCTGGTGCAGTGGTTGATGAATACGAAATGGAATTGATGAGTGCTGATGCTGACGATGTCCCAGCTTTGACTACCTACCTACCTAAGGTCATCCTCAGAACAGGAACAGGAACAGGAAGATTGAAGCGTCCTATCTCTCCTTCCCTTCCTCTACCTGGGTGCTTTCTGGAGGGGAGGGGTGGGCGAGGAGCTCCTCCTTCCCTTGAGCAACACCTCCCCGCATGGGGCAGCTGCGAGAGCAACCCAATTGCATGTGCATCAGAGGCAACTCCGGCTCTGGTCAGGCTTTCTTGCCCGTTGTAGTGGAGAAGTCCGCAAGCATGAGATGAGCGCTGACTGACAGGGCACCTCGTCCCGCTGAGTCGGCGCTCGCTCAGAGGGGGGGGGGCACTGACGCCAACCTGAGCAGAGCATAGGTGCTGTGAGCAGCGTATAAGGTGCTGTGAGCAGCGCATAAGGTGCTGCTGTGGTGCGCCTGAGTGGGGTGATAAGTCGAGGCAAGATAAGATAAGAGCTTCTACGACCCTGGATCTTCCATCCAAAATTCCGTCAACCGATTTGCATCACGAGTCACGCCCAGCGGCCGCGACAGCGACACCACGGGAAAGATACCACGCGCCAAACGCTCCGTCCTCTGGCAGACCATGCGCTGCCATGCCACCGAATGCGCCCTCCAAAAAAGTAGCCGGCCCCGCGTCGGCCGCCGCCAAACGTAAAGAGGCGCCTTCCAGCAACGATGCCTCGAAGAAAGGCAGCCCGGCGCCTGGCGCGGCTCGCTGGCCCGTCAAGCGCCTCAAGATGAGCGAAGACCGAAAGATCGTGACGCAGGAACCAGGCTATGCTCTGAAAGACGGAGAACTCAACCTCCAGACCTTTCTCAAGGCACGCGAATTCGAGATCAAGGCTCTCGAAGAGAGCATGCGACACACCAAGGGAGCCGCGACGAAACGAGCCTTTCAACAGGTGCCCCGCGGCATGCGCAGACGCACCGCGAGCCATAATGTCAAGAGGGTTCCCAAGAGGCTTCGCAACAGGGCCATGAAAGAGATGCGCGACGACAACACACCGACTGTGACCTCGCGACGGCGCAAACCGACCACGACGCGGGCTAGAATCAGATCGGAGACGGCGAGAAAGCTGGGCATATTGGCCGAGAAGAGGCGCAAACGGAAGCTCAAGGCCGCGAAAGAGAAGGCTCCCACCGACGGCGGTTCTATGGATGATGCCCCGAGCATCCAGACGAAAATCACAACGCGTCCGGCTCGACCCAAGATCAGGCGGAACGTCCTCAACGATCCACCACGGCCAAAGTCCAAGTTTCGTAAACGTCAACTGCAAAAGACCTGGCTGCCTACCCATCTTTGGCATGCTAAAAGAGCTAGAATGACGGAGCCCGCGAAGCCTCTATGGAGGTTTGCGATTCCCCTGACACCCAACGAAAAGATATACCGCGCAACGCACCGGGGCCAGGGTGAGAGAGGCGCCGTGGCCTGGGATATGAGCTACATGAGTACCATTGGTCTTTTCGGTAACGAGAACGGGGTCTGTCAAGTTCTCCGCAAGCTTGGAGTCATGCATGAAAGCTGCTGGAGCGAGAGGGGCCAGAGGTGGAGGGCTGGTACCAGGCATTGGAACGGCATGCTCAGCAGGGACACGAAGCTTGGACGGCGGCTCATATGCCCGGCTACTATTCAATGGAATCCACAAGATGCCGAGCAACAGCAGACTCCAGGAAACGAAGACTCGGACCCCAAGAAGAGGCAACGACAGCTATTCATCAGGGTTCACCCCTCGTCGTTCCTGGAGCTGTTCAATGAGCTTCTTCGGCTGGTCAAGATGCAGACGCCACAGCTCTTCATCGAAGACTTGCGATTCGAGATTGGCAGCATCGAAATCACCGGCCCGGCATCGACGGAAGTCCTTTTGGGGGTTCTTCAACCCTATTTCACCGATCTGGCCAAGAAGGAGCCGCATGCCAACATTTTCGGCGGCTTGACCAGCGCTGCAACACCATCAGCTTTGCCTCCCAATTCGTCCCTGGCATTTTCTACCCTGGACCCACGCTTGAGGTATCCGCCGCGGAAACTCGCTCCCCCAGACCTCAGCGACGAGGGTCAGTCGCGGCTCATGAGCCTTTTGTCGAGTTGGCCAGCTGACGAGGGCCTCCAACCCTACTCGATCTTCGACCGCGATCAACGTTTCTCGGCTTCAAGGCTACCGAGGCAAAAGTCCGTGAACAAGCGAAAAGGAGCTCGCATCCCCGGGACCGACCTCGACCCCAGTCCCTCGGATCCTCCCATTCCCATCCTCCTGCACGCATCCCGGTCAGCGCGCGGCGCAGAGGCTCAAGGAACGTGGACTGTCCTCGCACCTTTCAAATGCATCCAGCCCATCTGGTACAGCCTCGTGCACGTCCCGCTGGCGTCAGGCGGCAATCCAAGGTTTGCCGGGTTGAACGAGGCACGACAAGTCCCCTTTGAACGCGGCTTGCCCTATTTCCCCGTAGACTTCCTTGCGACAGATGCCGGCGCCGAGTGGGAGATGGAAGAACGCGCGCGGAGAAGGACGGCCTGGGAACGCCGCCCCAAGAGCAAGAGGACGGCATGGGAGACGCTCGACCTCGGCGCTGGACGCAAGGGCGAGCTCGGCGCTGGGTGGGCTTGCGATTTTGAGCACATCCTGCGACTCGACACCTCCGAGGCAGAGTCGCCTCCACCCTCCGTCAATGGCATGGACGTGGATGATCCTGCAGCGGAGAAGAAAGAAGCACCCGAGGCAGAGGTCAAGCGGGCGGCGTCGTCGCATCCGCTCCAGCAACTGCACCACGTCTCCAAATCGTCATTGGCGACGATGCTATCCTCCTCTGCACCGGCACCGCCCAACGCCATCGTCACCGTCACCCTGGTCCTGACCGGCCGCGGCGTGGCCGATCCCTGCGCCCGCATCTACCGCCTCCCAACCCGTCCCGCCCCGCTACCCCCTTCCTCCTCCGCCGAGGTCCCGGCCTCTGCACCTCCGTTGCCGCAGGACGCAAAGTCGACCGCCGGCCTGCCCGCAGACCTGCGCGACCAGTGGCTCGCCCAGCTCTCGCCGAGCACCGTCACGTCACGCGGCCCGCCCGGGGACCGCCTCCCGCCGGACGCCGACATGGCGACCCGCAAGCGCTTCCTGGCGCGCAGCCTCCTGGCGCCGGCTTCGCTGGGGTATCCGCCGTCGAAGCCGAACCAGACGGACATGAACGGGCATCCGCTCGTGCCGGGCGAGGAGGACCTCATCGGCTTCGTGACAACGGGGGCGTACTGCCTCAGCGAGGGGAGGGGGAGGGCGATCGGGTCCATTATTGTCGACAAGGTGGTCGAGGGGCTCAGGGACGAGGCCAGGAGGAAGAAGGCCAAGGGGCATGTAAGCGAGGCCAACTTGTGCATTGTGAGGAATGCCGGGGAGGGCGTGGGATGGCTCGCGAGGTGGGAGGTTGCATGAGCAAAGTTGCATGAGCAATCGACGTGCTGTGCAGTCAACGCAGATGTGGATTCAGCAACTTGCGTTGCAAGCATGATACGCACTGTCACAACGTAGCACCAAAATGGCAGCACATCGCATGCCTGCCATAAGAAGGTAGTCAAAGGCGAACAAAACGTCCTCTCAGTGAAATTCGTAATGCATTCAGAGGATCCATGTCCTCGCTCGTGGTATAGATCCTTACCAGCCCGTCTTAGGCAACCGGAAAACAAAACAAGACGCCTGCCTATTTTGTTCTCTCCCTGGAAAATCAACGCCTTTGAAAAAGAGTGCGTGTTTGCAAAATGGCCGCACGCCACAACACGCCTGAACACGCACGCGATGATGCATGTGCCTAGTCCTCCTCACTGACCTCACTCTCCTCGCCGGCGTCACCGCTGTTGGCCGCCTGCTCGAGGGCGTCCTCGAGCTCGGCCTCGAGGTCCATGTCGTCGTCGTCGTCGTCGTCGTGGCCAGCGTGCGCCTCTTGCTGGACGTATGTCTGCTGCTGCTGTACAGGCGCCCGATCGACATCCTCGAACATCTGGTTGTACTCTTCGTCCTCGCTGTCTTCGTACTGCTGCTGCTGCTGCTGCTGCTGCTGCTGTTGTCCCTCGTCGTTGACGGGGCTCGGCAGCTTGAACCCCTCGATCCCCCTGTCCTCTTCCTGGTCCGACTCTCCATCGGCGTCATCGGCCTCGGAGTCGCGCAGAAACTCAGAGAAGCGGCGAAACGCAATCTTCTGCGCCGGAAAGGCTGGGGAAAATTCGGTGCCGCTGCGGGCGTTGGCGGGCTCGTCGGGATACTCGACGGTGAGGCCAAAGTCGTCGTCGTCGTCTTCGTCGTCGTCCTCGTCGTCCATCTTGGCGGGCTTGCGCTTCTCCTTGACCGGCGGCGGCGGCGGCAGCGCGAGCTCGACGGTCTTGGCCTGCTTCTTCTCGGGGGCCGGACGGCGGGGCTGAGAGGTGCTGCTGCTGCCGTTCTTCAACGCGGACGCCTTGGGCGCGGATGCCTTGGGCGCGGCGGGTTTAGAGGCGGGTTTGGAGGCGGGTTTGGAGGCGGGTTTGGAGGCGGGTTTGGAGGCGGGTTTACGGGTGTCCTTGGGGGTGTCACGGGCCGGCGGGCTCGTGTCGAGGTGCTCGAACTGTTGACGCAGGCGTTCGGGGTCGGTGGTGTCGGGGGTACGGGTGAGGTTCATGTTAAAGGTCGAGTCGACGCGGTCGAGGATGAAGGCCTTCTTGGCGTCGTCGAAGTAGAGGACATATTGGTTACTGTCGGTGGAGCGGGTTCCAGCGTAGCCATAGGTGCCGCCGGCGTCGCTGTACGAGAGCTCAAAGTTGTCTTTGGTGCCGGGGGTTTCGGGTTTGAGCCTCGCGAGGGCAGGTGCCTGGTCGGAGGACAGCTGGGGCTTGTGGTTGTCTGGTGGGCTTTGGTCAGCTTCTACTTTCCGACACAAGGAGAGGGAGCTCGTTCGATGCCGATTCGGGGAAAGGAAGCGGAAACGTACATCGGACGCTGGTGAAGACGTCCTTCTGGGTGCGGCCGAGGAGGGTATCACTCAGCAGCACGGGGTATTTGCCCAGCTTGGTGGGGTCAATGAGACCGTTTGCGATGCCATTTGCGAGTCCAGCGGCGATGCCAGACGAGCCGTGCTTGGAAGCCGCCTTCTCCCTCTGGTTTGGGCGCAGGGCAGACATGGTGCTCGGTGGGCGAGGGCGTTGATGGAAGTGGTTGAACAGCGTTCGCGAGGGAGGAGGCCGGCGACGAGTCGTGCTACAAGTACCATGAGTGCCAGAGCCAGAGCCAGAGCCAGAGCCAGCGACAGCAGCGAGGCCAGCGCCAGCGCCAGCGCCCGTGTCCATCCCAGGCGTGGTACTTGTAGGGGTCGGGCCCCTGGGGACAAGATCCGCACCACTAGACGCAGCCGGGTGGGGTGCCATGGGGGCCATCAGTGAGTGGAGGCGCGGCTGGGCTCCCACCACCCTCGTGGTTCTTTACTAAGAAGTAAAATGCGGGAGATGGACAGGTCGCTCGCTTTCTGCTGCTGTCTCACTGGTGCAACGCTGAATCGCAGCCGGTGGTCGAGAGAGCGATTTCCGGCGTGGGATGGTGTGAGGGTGCGCTGACTGATCCTGATGCAGGGCTGACGAGACTGGCTCTGCCAAAGAGGTGTGTGTGTGAGGCGAGGCGAATGGGCAGGTTCACGGTGCGTGTGATGATGGTGTTTGCCAACCAAATGCCAGCAGTGGTGAATGAAGCTGGCGGACAAGGCGGCCTTGTTGTATTATCTCTTCCAATGTTGCCAAAGCAGATGGTGTTAGTGACCGGATATTCTTCACGCGTCGCCTTTATTGAATGGTCGTGGCCTTGTTGATTCGAACAAAAGTCCAAAGTGTTTTTTTTCTCACTGTCATTCTGATTGTTGCAGAAGCAAGCGAGAAGCGGACAGCGGAAGTGACCATTCTTCAAAGCAAACCAGCACCAGAAAAGTGCCTGCCAGAATCCTGGGCCCTCAAGGTTTGACACGTCGTTCAACAAAAAGGTTACTCCATCAAAGATACACTGCCTTCCATACTCTGTGGCCCGAGGCGCCTGCCACATTGATCCCCAGGACGATATGCTTCATTTTGGTCTGTGCCGATGCCTTCCATCACGGGAGATGCTATTCCATCGATGGGTTGTATGACTGAGTTGAGGGAGGCTCTAATCAGACATCTTGTCCGTCAGGCCATGTCTTCTCGTTGGACCCAGCTCATCATGATGCATTATATGATGCCAGGCACATGATTATCGGCACAGAAACGAGAGAGACACCAAGATGCCGATTTCAATCGGCGTATGCAACCAAAGGAGCTTCGGTCCTACGGACGATCCGCGTCTCGTTGGCGGTCGACATTCGTGATGACCTCGGGTCTCCATCAAGCAAACGGCGGGGGGGGGGGGGAAACAGAGTGGAGCGAGACACCAAGTTGGCGCAGCTCCGAGCTCGGCGATAAGATAAGACGGGTCAGTAGTTGCATTGGTTTGAGCGGTATATGGGTTATGCAGCTGGTTCATGGAGGGGGAGGGACAGTGACGACAAACCACAACAGACCTGGCAATCCTTCAATTCACAGCAATACCATTGTGGGTTCCCGCCCTACATAGCCTTCGGCTGGGACACGACCTACATGCTTGCGATCAAGCTCAAATTCGTCAAGTAAGGTCAAACCTGACGACCCAAGCTAATGAATACATGGTCAACAAAAAAAAGTTCAACAAAGTTGGGACTACAGAAACACGCCGCGGCTATCACCGGAAGCAGCATACCCCACATGCACCTAACCACAGGGTCTCTCTCCGCATCAGAAGCACCGCTCAAACGGGCATACCCCTCGTAGCGCAGACAACCTCGGATCAAAGTGGCTCTTTTTGGTCCTCGAGGCTCGGCAGCCCACGGTAAAGCATTTCCCCTTGGTCCATCAGCGCTCGTGCACCCCCAGGTGCGGTCCCCCCCAAGGCTCGAGGCTTACCCCCTGGAAGCCATAGTGACCACCGCCTTGGACCTGTTTGAGCCGAGCCCAAATATATTCTTCTCCTCGACGTGAATCTCGCGCCTCAACCTGCCTTCCTTCACATCCCTCTCTCCACCTCTCCCTATACCCATTGCGCCGCCGAGGTCACGTCGAGTGAGCAGTTGCTGTCGATAGTCCCCCAATTGACCTCCTCTGCGCCCCTCCACCTCGCCTCCTCGCCGAGACGAATCATGTCCGCCGTCAACCGCAGCATCAGGACTGCCACGAGATCGCTGCGCTTGCCATCGCAGAGCGTCCGCCTGGCAGCTCCCCTCCGTGCCGGCCTCGCCTCCACCCACCTCAACGCCTCCACCGCTTCTGCCCGCACTTCCTCCTCTTCTTCCTCCGCACACAACTTCTCGACCGCTGCTGCCAGACAGAGCGGTGCCCCAGCCATGTCTTCCGAACCCAGAGAGTACGATCCCGAGATCAACGACATTGCCAACTATGTCCAGAACTACAAGGTCGACTCTGAGCTAGCTGTATGTCACTGTCGTCGCCGCTGCCCCTCTCTCTCCCCCCCATCTCCCTTTCTGCACTGTCACCGGCCGCTGGTTACCCCTCCTTCGGCCGCGGTCCCTGCCTGCCCCTGCCAGCCACCTGCCTGGACATGTGCACTCTCTCTCTCTCTAAAAAAGAAAAAAGGAAAAAAAACACAGCACAAATCTCCTCCGTCTTCTTCACCGTCATAAAAAATCTTGTTCTTGCATCTGCTGACCGTCAACGCACAGTTCGACACGGCGCGATGGGTCTTCCTCGACACCCTCGGCTGCGGCCTCGAGGGTCTGCGCTTCAAGGAGTGCACCAAGCTGCTGGGCCCCATCGTCCCCGGCACCACGGTGCCCAACGGCCCCAAGGTGCCCGGCACCGACTTCCAGCTCGACCCCGTCAACGCGGCCTTCAACATTGGCGCCATGATCCGCTGGCTCGACTACAACGACTGCTGGCTCGCGGCCGAGTGGGGTCACCCCTCGGACAACCTGGGCGCCATCCTCGCCGTCGCCGACTGGATCACGCGCACCAACAAGGCCGGCGGCAACCTCGCCAACGGCAAGCAGTTCACCATCCGCGACGTGCTCGAGGCCATGATCAAGGCCCACGAGATCCAGGGCTGCCTGGCGCTGCTCAACTCGTACAACAAGGTCGGCCTCGACCACGTCGTGCTCGTCAAGGTGGCCAGCACGGCCGTCGTGTCCAAGATGCTCGGCCTCAGCGAGAAGCAGATTGCCGACGCCGTCACCCAGGCCTGGGTCGACGGCCAGAGCCTGCGCACCTACCGCCACTCGCCCAACACCATGTCGCGCAAGTCGTGGGCGGCCGGCGACGCCTGCCAGCGCGCCGTCAACCTCGCGCTCAAGGTGCTCAAGGGCGAGCAGGGCGTGCCGACGGTGCTGTCGGCGCCCGTCTGGGGCTTCTACGACGTCCTCTTCAAGGGCAAGAAGTTTGAGTTCCAGCGCCCCTACGGCAGCTACGTCATGGAGAACGTCCTCTTCAAGGTCTCGTACCCCGCCGAGTTCCACTCGCAGACGGCCGTCGAGGCGTCGGAGAAGATCTACGGCCAGCTCAAGGCCCTCGGCAAGTCGGCCGCCGACATCAAGGGCATCACGTGCCGCACCCACGAGGCCTGCATCCGCATCATCGACAAGCAGTTCAAGCCCATGGACAACTTTGCCGACCGCGACCACTGCATCCAGTACATGTGCTCCGTCATGCTCGTCTTTGGCCGCCTCGAGGCCACCGACTACCCCGACGGCAGCGAGGCCGCCACGTCCGAGATGGTCGAGTCGCTGCGCAAGCGCTTCAAGTGCGTCGAGGACCCCCAGTTCACCAAGGACTACCACGACCCCGCCCTGCGCACCATCTCCAACGCCCTGACCGTCGAGCTCAACGACGGCACCGTGCTCGAGGAGGTCGTCGTCGAGGCGCCCCTCGGCCACCGCCTGCGTCGCGAGGAGGCCAAGCCCGAGATTCTCAAGAAGTACCAGAGGCACCTGGCCCCCCACTTCAGCGAGAACAAGGTCAAGCAGCTCGTCGAGCTCGGCCTCGACCAGCAGAAGCTCGAGTCGACGCCGGTCGACGAGTACGTTGACCTGTACGTCAGCAAGGACAGCAAGTTCATCTAAAGTGTACGTGAGGGCAAGGGAAAAGCAGTGTGAAGTGTGCGACGAGGTGGCCAGGATAGATGTTTGATCATAGAAATTGAGATATCTGTTCATCGTCATTTCGGACCCAAACTTGGTACCTAGGGAGCGATTATACTGTGCCATGATCACAATCAGCTGACCACCACCTACACTCTCACACTCCCTCCGGTACGTCACACCGGGCGTGCCTTGCATCGCCCATGGAAGACCAGGCAAGGTACGCAGTGGCCCTGTGTGTGTGTGTGTGTGTGTGCATCCCAGCACTTGTGTGCAACGCGAAGTGTCGCCTCGAGTCGCTCCCGGTGCTCGAGAGACTCCTTGGCCCAGAAGGGGGGGGGGGGGGCTGACGAGGCCTGCATCGGCCCCACGGATGCTGAGGAGCCTCATTCGTAATTCGGCGACGCGGGGCAGCCCACCGCGGGATGATCCAATGGCACTGACAGGCGGTGGCGCCGCTTTCCCTTCAGGGGTGCTGGGGGGGTTCCTTAGGGGCTTGGTCGACCCCCCCGGTCCCTGTGGCCGCTGTCCGCTGTCCGCTGTCCGCTATCCGCTGGGCGGTCTCTCGGGTCCGTCAGACTCTCTTCTGTCTCTGCGACTGATCCAGTTTCACAGCCATCGAGGTCAGACAAGGCCAACAGACGGGACACAACAGGGCTCCGCCGCCTTTTGTCTGCCCGTGTTGCCCCCAATCCCCTGGACTCTTGACTGGGCTAGCGAGCCGACTGGGCATCGGGCGATCTGTGCCGGTGTTGGCGTGTACGTTCTGTCGTATTCCCCGTTGCGGTACGTGGCTCGCCCACTTAGTAACTCGGTACTGCCTAGCACGTCTTCGACCCGAACGTTCGACCGCTGTCGACTCTTTTCCCTCTTCCCCAACTCCCAACAGCACAACACCCTGCTACGGCATCGCTCACAGCACCCAGCACACAAGGATCCCCTCCACAGACCAGAGAACCCACCAAAGAAAACAAGTGCCCATTCAAAAGGCCTTGGACCAACCGCCAGCATGGCTGACCGCCAGACAATCATGGAGACCAACCGGTCGATCCGGACCATCAAGAACGTAGGCAACAGCCCACCCCTCAGCCCATGACCCTGGTCGCCGCCATCTTCAGCCCTGCGATGAACCCCGCGATCAATCAATTTATGACCAGAGCTGACATGGCCTAGGAACTCGAGAACCTCCTCGAAAAGGGTGTCATCGACGACGATGCTTACGAGAACATTCACTCCATGCTCCCCGCCGAAGCTCCCCTTCGAGGCGGCGGCAGCGCGCCCGCCCGCGCAACCCCTTCCCAGGCGGCCAGCCCCGCGGCACCACCTCCGACTGAGGCCATGGCCAACATGAACATCAACAACCAGCAGCAGCAGAGGGCGAACCCTTCGCCGGCGCCTCCCTCCTACGCCAACTCGACTGGCGGCGCCGCCGCTGCCCCTCCACCGGGCCCCCCTCCACCCCCGTCCAAGCCCATCCTCGCCCACGCCCGCGCTCTCTACCGCTACCAGGCGGCCGACTCGCGCGACCTCTCCTTTGAGCGCGACGACAAGATTGCCGTTCACGAGTACATGAACGCCGACTGGTGGATGGGTCGCAACTCTCGTACCGGCGCCGAGGGCATCTTCCCCAAGACGTACGTCGCCGTCGAGGCCGCACCACCGCCGGCGCAAGACCGCGCCGCCCCCCACAGCGCGCCCCAGCAGCCGGGCTACCACAACCAGCCGCCGATGCAGCAGCTCTGGCCGCCGCCCCAGCAGCACCAGTATGCGCCGCCCCAGCCGCAGTACGGCCAGCCCTCCGGCCCGCCGCCCCAGCAGAACCCCTACAACTCGGACACGCCGCCGTCGGCCATTGCCAACCAGGAGAGCGCGCCGGCGGACGGACAGCACAAGGACGGCGCCGGCAAGGCGAAGGAGTACGGTGAGAAGTTCGGCAAGAAGCTCGGCAATGCGGCCATCTTTGGTGCGGGTGCCACGCTCGGTGGCAACCTCGTCAACAGCATCTTCTGAGGGGTCTTTTTCTCTCTCTCTCTCTCTCTCTCTCTCTCTC